GCCCAGGGTTCTCATGAAATGTGCCGAGGGTCATAGCAGGAAAGTCAAAGCAGGGGTCAAATCCAAGTTCGTCTGCCTTAGAGGACTCTGCAGGAATGAACGAGGCATTAAGCCAGGACAGGCAAGGAAGTGGGGTGATGTGAGAGAGGGGGTGGTGGAGATGGAAGTAGCTCCTCCTGATGGAGGAGAAGCAGGCAGCTTCAGGATCTTCATAACCCTCTCCCAGGCTAGACCTTTGATATTGCAGTTATTTTTTTTTATTTGTTTCCCCCCACCCCCTCAGGTGTAGTCCCCATAGAATTTCCTTTCCCAAGGCACCCATGTACCATCACCACAGCCCCCTGTGCTCCTCCCTTGCTCTCTCTGATCCCTCTCCTGCCTCCTCCCCTGCAGTATGTCTCTGATATATAATTGTCTGTTTTTGCTTTGTTGTGTTTTGTACTGTTATTATTTTTTTTACACTGATGTCTTAATTGGTTCCCCTGTTTTCTGGTATACGTGAAACCATCCAATATTTTTCTTTTTCCTTCTGGCTTATTTCACTGAGCGTAATTCCTTTTAGCTTCACCCACGTTGCTGCAGAATGGCATGAGTTTCTCTTTTTTGATTGCTGAATAATATTCCATTGTGTATATATACCACGTCTTCTTGATCCAGTCATCTATTTTTGGGCATTTGGGTTGTTTCCAGGTTTTACCTATTGTAAATAGTGCGATTGCAGCTATTTTAAACTAAACTGTAAAACTGTTCTTCCCTAGTGGAGGGAGACTATAGTGGGGCAGGGACGAGATTGGGGAAAGCGCTACTAACATGGGAAGACAAGCTCTGGTCATGGTGAGGAGACCACAGCCTGAAACCCAGAGTCATGGGTTTAATCCCTGTTCTGCCTCTGGCTGCAGAGAATACATTTCCTCTGTGGACCTCAATTTTCTGATCTCTAACATGCAGCTACCTGATTTCCAGCTGAGAGCCTGTGGTTTTAGTCTTGGATATTCAGACGGGGCCCTAGGGAGAGGAGGCAGGAACAGATTTAAGAGGGGGGTCATTGGGAGGAGGGTACATAACATAAACATACTGGGGAACTGCCAAGCAGGCCATCCCTTAAAAGGGCAAACATGAAACTGCCCTGCCTTCTGCCCAGGCCCTTCTCTGTGAGGACGGCACTTCCTGTTTGGAGGTTCTGTGTGTCCTTTCCCTCCTGCACATACTCAGAGTCACTAAAGCTGTTTGGTGACAGGCATGGCGTGGCGTGAACCAATCAGAGCAGTCATGGCTGTAGACAGCTGGTGTGAGATGAACAGGGTGTGCCAGCTGTGCGCCTGTCTACCCTTTAGTCCTCCTGGTAAAACCTTGCTTAGCAGCCAAGGAAGGACAAGGAGGGAAGCCAGGAAACAAGAAGATGAGGAGGTGAAGGTGGGTAGAGAGTTCACAGGGCCTCCCAGGCGTCTGCCCATCGTCCTGCCCTAGAACTACATGATGCCCTCAGCCCAGCCTCCCGTGGATGAGGACTTCCCTTTCCACATACTGTGCCCTGGGGACAGCAGTCTTGCCTACCAATTGTGGCTGCAGTGCAGATGAAACAAGGGGGATCTGGCCTATATTCTGCAATATCACCCCAACTTGAAACTGGGCTGGGGTATCTCAGGGAAGTTGGCCCCTATCTGCCCGAAGAATTGATATTTTACTATACCTGATTGTGGTTCTGAGTGATATATACGGTTTATAGTGACCATCAGACCAGGACTTTGTCTCACCCACTCTTGACTGTTGACCAATGAGTCCCATAGAAAGCTTGAAAACCTCTCTTCCTCTCCCATTTTCCTCAGATACCAGCCTTTTCCAGATCTTCACCATGCCAGGACTGCTGCTTAAGCCCACCGACTTCTTCCTTACCCCCAGCTTTAGGACTATCCCCTTGCTCTTTTCTTCAAAGGTTCCTGATTGCTTTTTAACCACTAGGAATCAAAGATTACAATCAACATTTCTTAACTGATGGGTAAAGACTTCTCCTTTTTCATGAGCACAGGTTGTTTTGGCCAAGAAATGTTTATTGAGTGCCCACTAAGAACAGGCATTTCAGTAGCTATCGAAATGGTGTGTGGCGGGGAGTGTCAAAGAAGCAGGAGGCAGGCCTCCCTGATGGCACAGGGGGTTAAGATGCAACCTATGAAGTTATTTGCAGCCCCTGTAGTATGAGTTCGATTCCCAGCTGGCCACGAAGCTAACCCACATGGCACAGCAGACCTCTCCTGTCCCGCCCGCTGCTCCCCTCAGCAGTGTATTTCAGTCAGTCTGCCTGTTCTGTTCTCCACTCTGTCTCTGGTGAATCCTCTCACATGGCACCACCCCACACCTCTGGCCTGTGCCCCAGCTCTTGCATGCATAAATAAATAAATCTTAAAAAAAAAAAAAAAAAAAAAGAAGCAGGAGGCATGGTCCTATCCTCAAGGAGCTTTCATCATGGCTTTGGAAAGCCCATTTGTAAACACAGAAAAGATAACCCATAATGCAAGGCGACTTTGGATACTGTGTTATTTAAGGCTGGGGGGGAGGGGATCTATTAAAAAGTCTGTCACAAAGTTTATAAAGAAAGATAGAATAGAGCTGGTAACCCATTCTAGAATGCTAATAGTATTATATTATGACTTATATGAGAGGCCAGATCATATTAGACTAAGTTACTAGCTAGATTTAGGGTTGAGGGTTTAAGAAATAAAGCAGTACAAAGTTATCTTGGGTTTACTAGGAACAAGTTGTGCCACAGTTATCTTATCTTTTTTTGATAAGGTTCTAGAACTTAGTTGAAGACAAGGTCTTACATTGAACATTTCTAGAATTCCACAAGACTTTAGGAAAAATCTAAAAGGGGGCTGGATTGAAAAGAAGACTAGGGCCTCCATGGTGGTGCAGGGGTTAGAGACACAGTGCTGTATGGCTATCACCAGCCACTGCAACATGAATTTGATTCCCAGCCAGGGTGCTACCCACATGGCACAGCAGACCTCTCCTGTCTCACCCACTGCTCCCCTCAGCAGTGTGTTTCAGTAGATCCGTCTGTTCTGCTTCCCACTCTGTCTCTAGTGAATCCTCTCCCCCACTACCCCCTCTGCCCGGCACCTCTGGCCTACAACCCAGTTCTTGTATGCATAAATACATAAATATTCAAAAAAAAAAAAGAGGGCTAGATAAGAACATGTTTAAGGACAGTCCCCTGAGAGTGCTGATTAGTAGTTCTGGGCATCCCAGGCCAGATGACTCTGTCATCTGGGTCTGTCTTAATCCCTGTTGTGCTCACCAGTTACACAATGGTGTGGATAGAGACTAGGGACACATTCTGATCATTCATTCTGTTAATGACCCAAATCTAGGAGAAACAGGTAACAAGAAAGTTTCAAAATTACCTTTACCCTTTCCAGATGTATAGGACACACCCCAAAGAATTGAAAGCAGGGACATGGATAGATATTTGTGTTCCCATTTTCATGCCAGCATTATTTATAATAGCCAACTCAATTATCTGTCAACATATGTAGTCTATCCATACACTGGGATATTAGTTTTAAAAAGAAGAAAGTTCTGACATATGCTCCCTGTAAGAACCTTAAAGACATTGTGATGAGTGAAATAAGCCAGTCACAAAAGGACATGAACCACATGTTTCTACTCATTCAGGCACTCAGAGCAGTCAAGTTCCTAGGGACAGAAAGTAGAGTGGTGGCCACTGGAGTTGGGGGGATAGTAATGGAAAGTTATTGTTCAATGAGGACAGAGTTTCTGTTTTGCAAGATGATAAAGGATGGTGATGGATGGTGGTAATGGTTGTACCACAGTATGAATGTAATGCCTCTGAACTGTACACAGAAATGGTTCTAACGATAATTTTATGTTATATATATTTTACTACAGTTTAAAAAAATCTTCACCCAAAACCTGTAATGTAATATTCAGTAATGATACTGGCCCAATCCTGTTTATGCCCCAAAGTCTAAGTTGCCAAATACTATGACATATCAGCAGTGTGGGTAAGCTATGGTCTCTCTACTCAACTGGCTTAGGTCATATGAGATCTTGTTTAGAATGTAGGGGTCAAGGGCAACTTGTGTAGAGATGGGCTTCATCTATCTAGTAGTGATATCAAAGACTAGGCCCAGTGTTCCTCCTGAAGTTGGGTGCCCATGAACTAGGCTGTCCCAGAGGCAAGCCAAAGATCTAACCCTTTCTGTTTCAGTGACTACCAAATGTTGGGTTTCCATCAGCTCTGGTGATCTCTGGCTAGATTGTCACTCTCTGTTCTTGGTTGGTGTAGAAAGCAGATGTGCTGATTAAATACCAATCCAAAACTGGTACCATTTCTTCACCCAGGGTTCACTGTAATCACTTACCCATCCTTCTTGATGGAGCATGAACCCATGTCCTGTTGATGTTTCCTATTTGTCTAAACATTCATGGGTGTGCTAGACTGGGAATAAAACTGTGAAAGTAGCTGAAGTCTTCCATCCTCTATTCCCCTGGGGTCCTTGCTGTATCATTAGCTGGGCATCCTCACTGAGCCAACCAGCTTTAATCCTTCCTTCCCATTGTTGAAACCTTTTAGTCAGGCATCCCCCGGAACCTTAGAATGAATCAAATGAATGGAAATAGATTGTCCAGAGGACAGGAAATAGGATTCCCATCTGTACAATCATGGAGATGGTAAGATGAGTGCCAACTCTGATTTCCTAGAGGTCACATTCTGTGACTGCACCCCTCCTTCTCTGGCACACAGGGACAATATGAAAGTGTCTGTGCCAGATAGCCCTTCTGTGGAGGGCTTGGTCAGAAGGGCATGTAAATGTTTTTTAGGGGGAGAAGCTATAAGAGAAGCTGTGGGAGAAGGGAAAAGGTTTTAGCTATCGAGTCGAGGTCTCCTAACAATTGGGCAAAACTTAGGGTGGCAAGTGACTGCTGCCCCCATGTAGCTGATGTGTCTGACCACCTGGTGTGCTCTGCTTTCCTGCCAGATCACGATGAGGACCTAGGGCGTCTGCCTGCTGACTGTCCTCCTGGCCTGCAGTGACCATGGCCCCCCGCAAGAGGAGCCGCCATGGCCTGGGCTTCCTGTGCTGCTTCGGGGGCAGTGACCTCCCTGAGATCAACCTCCGGGACAACCACCCTCTGCAGTACATGGAGTTTTCCAGTCCTATTCCGAACCCAGAGGAGCTTAACGTCCGCTTTGCAGAACTGGTGGTCAGTGAGGGGCAGGGGTGGGTGGTGGACACTGGGGAGGCAGAGTGGATTCTTTAGGTTGACACCAGGTCACTCAGAACATAGCCTGTTGGCTAGAAATATGGGGGCAGATGCGTGTATGACACCTGGAAACTAGTTCAAGTCTGGGGTGATGACATCTAGCCTGGGGCAGGTGGAATCTCTGTGCTCTACCAGTTCTCCCTGACCCTTTGTGATGCTCTAGACCAGCGCTATGGTATACCTTTGTGAGAACTCCAATTGTATGTAATTTCAAACTCTAACCACAAAGTGACAGAATAGGAAGTGTGATTCCACTCTCTGGAGGTCTGATGGGAGGCAGAGCTTGCCCACCAAGGGAGGTCCCAGATCAGGGCTATAGGGCACAGGCTCTAATCCTGGCATAGAGTGATGAGCACAATTTCTTTTTTTTTTTAAGATTTATTTATTTATTTTTGTATTTATACAAGCACTGGGTAAAGTCAGAAGAGCAGGAGGATGAGAGAATTCACCAGAGCAGGGAACAGAGCAGACAGACCGATGAAATACACTGCTAGGGGAGCAGTGGGCATGACAGGAGAGGTCTGCGTGCCATGTGGGACCCTCACCAGCAGCCAGGGATGGAACCTGCACTGCAGAGGCTGCGGGCAGCTTCACAGCCCAGTGCTCAACTGCTGCACCACCAGGGGAGGCCCGAGTGATGAGCACAATTTCATCGGACTGGACTGTTCACTCTTGGTCACTCATTCTTATGATTGCCTGATAATCCAATCAGAGGAGAAACAGTGTTGTGTGCCTTAGAATGGGGATTCATACTTGAATTTGATAATGGATGTAACTGACTAACACAATCTAGTCCTTCAAATAGCAGGAGCACTATAATATGTGACCAGGCAGGTTATATGAAAAAGTAGCCCACCTTTCTCATCACATCAGGTTCAGAAAAACTCATGGATATCCTGATTTATATTTTTTCTCAAGATGGGATTGTGGGTGAAGGGAATAAAGTGTTTTCTGGTGTGGGAACATTTAGAACCTGATTGGTGCTAGTCATTGATCTGTTTTTGGCTCAGAATACTGCTGACACCAGATGTGTGGTTGTTCATCCCAAACAATTCTCCAATTCTGTGCTGACACCAAATGGATATCCTACAATGTCACTCATTGCTGACACTAACCCAGAGTTAGTGCAGATCCCACAAGTTAAAGACTCAGAGACACACGACCCCTCACTTCAGACATCAGTCAAAGTAGTGGGTCCCCAAGTTACTTGTACTTCTGTTTGACTTGGCTTCAAATTGGAGGCCTTTCAATCCCATCCTCAAGTTTGCTGATTTGCAGTAAGGACTCTGGGATATACTTTACTTGCTATGTATTGCTAGTCTATTATAAAAAAAAATCCTAATGAATACAAATGAATAGCCACATGAGGTGGGGGGGTGTTTAGGGTAAGCCCCAGAAGGGTCCTGCGCACAGGAGTTTCTGGCCCATTAGAGTTGTGAATGTATTTGCCAACCTGAAGCTCTCTGAAGCTTATCATTTAGAGACTTTTATGTAGTTTTCATCACATAGGTATGACAGATTTTAACTCAATCTCCAACCTCTCCTCTTCCTGGAATTTAGGGGGTGGGACTGAAAGGTCTAGGTTTCTAATAGAGGCCTGATCTTTCTGGTGATCAACTTCCATATAGAAGCTATGGAGATCCCACCAAAGCAACAAAAGAGGCTCCTATCTCCAGGAAATTCCAGGGGATTTAGGAGCTCTAAGTGAAGAACAAAATGTGCTTCTATCACCCAGGAAATTCCAAGGGATTTAGGCGCTCTATCCTAGGAACTGGGGATAAAGATCAAAGTACATTTCTTAAAATACAGCCAGGGCATTTTCTGTTTTCATTTCTATTGAGGTAACATTCCTTCTCAAAGTTACAGGGGTCTAGTTTTGTTTTTTTTTTTTTTTTTTGTTTTGTTTTGTTTTTGTTTGCTTTTTACCTCAGCGACTTTATATTATGCCAACCCCAAATTTGGGAATATTTTCTTAAATAGCATACTTGAATTTTGATAGGTTTCAAGAGGGTTTCCTTTCTTTAGCCCTTATATTCAATAAGTATTTGTTGAGCATCTTCAGTGGGCTGGACGCCTTGCAAGGTACTTTGGCCAAAGCAAGGGTGATTCCGATGAATCTTGTCTGCAAGGAGACTAGTGTCAGGTATTGAGTAAATAAATGATGAATATTTCTTCACATTGCTGTGTGCTAATCCTTTGGAGGGCCTCAGGGATTTAGTTATAAGCCAACAGGCACCGTTTCTGCTTCCAAGAATGTGAAATCTAATAGGAAAGACTGATTTTATTTTTTCTCATTATTTTATAATGAAAATGTATTATGAATATTCCCAATGTGCCAAGAAGTTGCAAGAACTTTTCATTGAATATCTACATTCCACCATGTAGATTAAACTATTCTTAAGTTTGTTATATGTCTTTTATAAATTAGGTTAAATTAAATCCAATTGCTATTTTCATGGGCTAAAAAGAATAAAATATTGGCAGATATCATAGGAGAGACTCTGAATAGGAGTGACAAGTGTGGTGTTCGGAAAGGGGACTGTGGAGCATGATCCTAAAGGGAGGTCACCAGCACCTCCCTGGAACAGTGACATTTCCACTGAGATCTGGAAACATCGCAGTAGTTAGGGAAATGCATGAGGGTGCAGAACAACAGCAGGGGGACCCTGCACAAGAAGCAGCAAATCAGAAAAGACCTGGGTGCTTTTGTAGGAGACCATGAAGACAAGAGTAAGGAGTGATAGATAGCGAGTGAAGGCTCTAAGCAGGGTTTTGAGATGATTCAATCTGCTTTTCTGAAATGCTATTTAATCTAAGCCATCGAGAATGATAACTTGGACTAAAATGTTAGTGGTGACAGATTCAAGAGCTATTTAGGAGAAATGATTATAGGAACTGGAGGGGTTGATGAGTGAGTAGGAATTAAGGAACAACCAGACTTTTTACAGGAAAAACTGGTTGGAGGTAGGGGCCCCCATACATACAGAGAAGATGATTGTTGAGATTAGATGACTGAGATGAATTCAATTTGCATATTCTTTCCATGTATCAATTTTTTCATCTGTAAAGTGGGTTGTTGCAAGTTTTAAATAAATGAGTAAATATCAAGCACTTAGAATAGTGTCTTAGCACAAAGTAACACCACATAAATATGTCAGATACTCAAGTTGATAGATATAGAAGGGTCCCAGAATCTGGAGCTCAGGAGACTGGTGAACTGGAGGTACAAGTTTGGGAGAATTTAGTGTAATAACTGAGTTCTCAGGAATAGCTGACAGGGCTTCACCTAAGGAAGAATAGACAGGAAAAAAGAAGATTGAGGACATCGCCCTGATGGACTTAACATTTGATGGTAGGAGAGTAGAGAAGTCACCAAGGAAGCCCAAGAGTAGCAGAGGGAAGCAGGAGGGACTGCCTGAGAACACTGTTGTCAAAGAACTCAAGGAAGTAGGATTCAGTCAGCACTGAATGATCAGCAGAGGTGCAGGATCCCTGAACTCAGCATAACTGCCAGAAAGCGTCCATTGACTTAGCCACAGAGACTCTGGAAAGAAAGAACTCGCACATGTGACCATAATCCAAGGTTGAATGTAACTGCACTGGAGTTCAGGACAGTGTTCTTACCTGGGAATCTATGGAAGGCTTGCTGATGGAGATTACTTTGAACTTGGGAATTGGACCAGGTCCACTGATTAGATGGACAAGGAGGGCAGTCCAGGTGGAGCTAACTGTGTAAGCAAAGTAGAAGAAATACAGAGTTTGTGCAGGGTATTATAAAGTGCATATAACCGTACTTCTTTTGCTTCTAATTCTGGCATGGAAAGGATTTGCTGCACATACCTGAAGCAGGGCTCTGAGGATTCTGGCCAAGGACCTTCTTGGGATATGTGGAGAGTGGTTCTAGGGTTCTAGTACTCTTTGTTGAGCATTAGATCTGTAGGAGTCTTTAGTTCCAGAGGGAGGTGAACTGGTGGGCACTGTTTCAAATAATTTTTGTCTGTGTTGTCCGAGATGGTGGCCCCTGGTGACCTGGGGCTGCTGTATACTTTTTGAAATGTGGCTTGCATGAACTGAGATGAGCTGCAAGGGTGAAATACACAGAAGATTTGGTGATTTAGTTTTGGGGAAGAAAGAATATAAATATTTCCGTGACAATTTTTTATATTGGTTACATGTTGAACATATTTTTGATATTTTGGATTCAATAAAATGTATTATTAAAATTAACTTTATGTATATTTTCTTAATTTTTTAATGTGGCTAGAAAAATTTTCTTAAATGTATGTGATTTATGTTATACTTCTGTTGGACCATTCTGTTTTAGGTGAAGGAAGGAGATATTTTCCCTTAATAAAAATATAGGCAAAGGAATGTAGGTAGTAAGATTTAGATCCATATACTCCCCTAGATAGTACTTTCACTCTTTATATAATTTTCAAAAGTATAAAGATTAGTAATGTTATACTTTATTGTCTTATTGTGACTTTTGCTTTTGATTCAAAAAACAAAACAAAACAGGAAAAAGCAACTTCACAGTAATTGAGTTGAAAACCACACTATGTTCACCAGGGTCTATTAACTGTTTCTTTGATGAGCCTGCCTTCATTCATCTAGCATAGGATTTTAAAGAAAAAAGCTTTTTAGGGGTCATCCAGCGTGGCCAAACCTATAAAGTCACCCAAACTACCTATAGAGTCATCCAAAATTTGATGACCTCAGAAAATTTACTACTCTACTCCTCTGAGAGTTTGGGTTAGACTGGTGATACCCCTTTCTATGTACAGAGTCTAGATTTGGTGGTGGTGGTGTGGGTGGAGGGACCACCACTGCTGACCATGACCATAACACCTGTAGGAAATAGATGAACACTTCCCTTGGGGTGGCGCATCCTTCCTGCCAAGATATTTTCTCATCCCCTTGCCCTCACTAGCACTCTCTAGCCTGTGGTAGGACCCAAGCTGAGGTTGGGGGAACCAGAGAAAATCTGGGGGAGAGGCTCCAAAGGCAGAGAGACTTGAAAGATGGGAATCAGTATTGGATCTGTAAGTTGACTCCTTTCTTTGTCAGACCTTGACTTACGGTGTTGACGAGCTTGAGATGGACAAGGGAAGGCAGACAAGAAATCCTGGGCAAGAGGAGTAAAGGCTAACAAAGCGACACAGGAGATGGGCAGTGGGCACTGGATCTGGAGGAGGAGGAGGGGATGCAGAGACAAAGATGGGGGTCGGCAGGCAGGAGGATAAAAGCAGCACAGAATTGAGCTGAAGTTAGATGCTGGAGGAATGGACTGTATATCTTACAGAAAGAATTATTCTATCATATATTTGCTGCTCTTTGAAAGGAAGATAATAAAGGCTTGAGGGAATTGCAATTTCCTGTAGGACTGGATATTCTAATGTCAACCATCTCTGGGTTTTAGATGTATTATTTCTTGTTGTCTTTGCAGGATGAATTGGATCTCACTGACAAAAATCGGGAGGCTGTGTTTGCACTGCCTCCTGAGAAGAAATGGCAGATCTACTGCAGCAAGAAGAAGGTGCCATCTCTGACCCTTCCCACTGTCGCCTCGGGGTCCCCAGCATGGGGAGCTCTTGTCTCCATGCTCACTCATTCATTGAATAGATATTTATGACACACTGACACTGTCACAGTTTAGGGGAACAGCAGTGGATAAATCTGGAGAGAAAGAAATTCTGTTCTCATGACTTGTGCTCAGGGAAATAAGATTCTGTCTTTCAAAAGCTCTTTAAGAAGGTACCCCTGGGTTCTAGGAGTGCTGCTGATACAAAGATGACAAACCTGAACTCCCTTCTCATGTCTGTGTCTGGAGGGCATGCCAGCCTGGGCTGTGCCTGGGGGCAGCTTTGTTGTAAGGACTGAGTACTTCTGTTTTTCATGGGGGCTTTTTCCTCTGGATCTTTAGTGCCAAGCCTGTCCCAGGCTCACAGGGCAGCATATGCCTCAGGGCCACATGTGTTTCCTCCCATGCTCTCTTCCTCTCTTCCTCACAATGTGGGTCTCCTGCCTGTAGTACTCCTCAGAAAGGGGTGAACCACTCCAGTTAGGGCTGAATTGTATTTTAACTCCCCCACCCACTTTCTCTGCTTTCTCCTCTCGCCTTCCCGCTTCCCCTATCACTGTCTCCTCTGCTCATCTCTCTCTCTCTCTCTCTCTCTCTCTCTCTCTCTCTCTCTGTCTCATTTGCCACCTGTCTATTCTAGCCTTTCTGTTCTCTTATGGTGCTTTTCATTTTCGTGGCCCACCTCCCTTCTTTCCCCTCCACCCTCTCAATGTTCAGCCCAGAAGCTTGTTCCTTTGACCTCCGATACCTGAGGTCTTGCACCTGAACTCAGACCTGCTCTCAAGTCTGGGTGGGTTCTGAGCTGTTTCTCCTTTGTGTTCCCTGGCGCTACGCATGACACTTTACTTATTTACTCTTCTCACTAAAGATATTTGTCCCATCAAGGATCCATACCAGTCAGAATTACCTTATAAAGTTGGGCTTCAGGATCTCAGGCCATGGGCCTCTCTAACCGATTGGTCTACAACCCTTTTTCTTCTTTCAGGAGCAGGAGGACCCCAACAAGTTGGCAACCAGCTGGCCTGACTATTACATTGACCGAATCAACTCCATGGCAGCGGTGAGTGGCCACTTCACCCCTGGCCAGAACCCCACCTTGAAAGGCTATGGGCGAGGGCGGTCCTCTCCCAAGTATCTCTGCATCTCACACCCCCCACACTGGGACTCAGCAGCTCTCTGTTATTCTCAAGATTTGACCTTAATCTTTCTTCCCTGTGGTTGTAAAGTCCCACAACCATTTAAACACTTATTAACCATTTGGACATCAAATAAGCTTGGGAAATTGGCTGGGTTAACAATTCTTCCCATTTTACAGATGAGGAAAGTGAAGTCTGAGGCGAGAACCTGGGTCTCCTCAGAATCTGATTCTCTGTGTTTCTGAGGAGAGGGCAGGCCCTGCATCACACCTGAACTAGGGCTGTGGGGGCTGGGCGGCAGACAGTCCAGAGTGACTTCTGCTCATTCTGCCTACTCAGATGCAGAGTCTGTATGCATTTGATGAGGAGGAGACAGAGATGAGGAACCAAGTCGTGGAAGACCTGAAGACGGCTCTCCGGACGCAGCCCATGAGGTAACTTGTTCTGTCTCCTTCCCCTCACTGGCTTCCACATCTTTTCACTGGATGCCTCCATTCCCAGCTCCCACAGCCCCTCTCTCCGAGTAGCTGGGAGGCTGTGAGGGAATAGGTATGTTGGAAAAGAAGGAAGATGAACATAGGAAAACGATATAAACCTCAGATCCCAAAGATCTATCTGGAGAGAAACTGAGGGCCAGTGCTTGTTTTTCTTGAGAAAATAGAACAGAAGGGAGGGTAGCCAAGAGGACCAGATGTATAGGAAAGAATTTTGGGAGAATTAGGCCCTATGAACATGAGCGATAAATACTCGAGCCACTAGGGGGCGATGTGGTGTCTGTGGATGAGATGTCTCTGCCTGGTGTGGGGAGCATGGGCCTGGCAAAGGGGATGGATGCCTCAGGGCCAGAGAAAGACATCTCCTCCTCCCCAGACCACACACCGTGCAAGGGTTCTAAGAGGGGAACATGGGGCACAGATGTGTCTCATGTCTGGAAACTGTGTCCTGCCAGCCTCTCGGATTTGATTGTTAAATTTTCAGCCATTTTGCAAGCTAGTTGTCAAACATAGATATAAATAAAATACAAATTATATTAAAAACAAAGGTAATAAATATTTGAAAATTACCCAATGATCTTTCTACATTTTACTGTGACTATGTCCTTCACTACACCTGCTGTGTATGTAAGAGGGAGGTGTATAAATGGTGCATCTCTTTTCAACTCTACTGTCAGCTATGCCATATTGATAACTTGAAATTGGTTGTGCTGAGAACATTTATTCTATAAAAATTGGCAAATACTACAGTCAAGCCTGTGCATTCTAACTCCAGAGAGCAGTTGTTAAACATCTCAGTCTATGTGTGTGTGGCAAGGTGGGGAAGTCTGGGGTGGAAAGGGATACAGGAAGTAGAGGGATTGAGGAGAGACTGTTGAGTTTATCTGCCACCTCAATTTATTTTTCTTTGCCTTAGTAAAATTCTAATAAGAAAATATATATTGTCATATATATTGATGAAAAGTTTATGGAATATAGAAAACCATATAACAGAAAAAAGTAAATAAGACCTATTTTTACAGTTTTAGAGTATATTCTATTTTTCTGATCATAGTTCTACAATAATATAGAAGTCCACACAAATGCACTTGGAATTAAATGCATTAATTATATGCAGTATTTTCTTCAGCTCCTTTTGTGACATTACTTCAGGTCATCAATTATTCTATGAAGTCTAGGGTTTAAAGCCTTTTTCTGTATGTGTGTGCATGTGGGATGGGTAATTCTGGAATCCAAATGAATCTTACAGACCACTTACCAGAATGATGCTTTTAAGTAATAACAATTGACCCTTGAACAATATGGGCTTGACCTGTGGGTCCATTTACGTTTGGAATTTTTTCTATCTGAGGTTCTTCATTCAGGGTTTCAGCCAACCTCAGATATTGGGCAGTTGAATTTGCATATGCTTGTGTATAAGAGGGCCCACTCCAAGATATATTCAGATTTTTGACTGCTTGGGGTTGGTGTTATTCAGGGTCGACTGGAAATAAAAATAGATGGATTAAAAAAACTAAATTTAAGTAGTTACCAACTATTAAAGATTGTGAGATAGGAATAAATGTACTTCTTTATGCCTTAAATAGCAAGAACTAGCAACCGCCATGGTTTTGAAGTGCTGATGAGTGTAAATGATATTTTGAGATACCGGTGACAACTGTAATTTGATATGAAAATAGCTGTGATTTCTTTGGGTGACAAAGTCACAGATTATGCTAATAACACTGTCATTTATTGCCTCCATTCATCATCAAGGGAAATGTTAAGTTTCAGTTAGACGTTTTCAAAAATAAAGCTGTAATTTTCCTTTCCCATCCAAGTTCATGGACTCTTGTGTGTCAGATATAGACCCTTTAGGGGAACGTAGACTCCAGGCTAAGAACCCCTGAACTAAATGACATTTAATGGTTTCTGCTAACAGTCAAGATAACTCAGCTGTTTTCGTTTTTTTTTTTTTTTTAATATTTATGTATTTACACATAGAAAAGCTGGGATGTAGGCCAGAGGTGTGGAAGGTTGAGAGGATTCACTAGGGAGAGTGGGGAGCAGAACAGGCAGATCTACTGAAATACACTGCTGAGGGGAGCAGTGGGGGAGACAGGAGAGGTCTGCTGTGCCATATTGGGTCAGCTCCCTGCCTAGGGATCGAACTGAGGATGTGGTGGTGATAGTGCTGAGACTTAACACCTGTTGCTACCAGGGAGGCCCCCAGTTGTTTTCTTAAGGACCTTCCCAGCCTTGGTTCCTTAACCAAGTGTCTGTGATTCCCTTCTGTCTGGAAGTCCTCCTTGTCATCTCACTGTCATTTTTTGAATCCCTATCTTTGCTGGAGATGAATCTTCAAGTTTAATAGCCATGATAATTATCATGACCATCCACCCCATACACACCATCAAAGATGAAACTGAGAGTCAATGACATGCAAATGCATGGTACTTAAAATGCAAATAGGATGCCACACTCCTGTGAGAGTGAAAGGATTTTAGTGCTTTAGATGAGCTTTATAAATGGAAATGGGGGCTGCTGTACATGGGGTGTTGAGATAACTATTTGCAAAAATGTGTCCAGAATAACATGGGAGCGTGGGATACCTATTTCTAATGGTAGGTTTGTGACGCGCTTCATCGAGCTGGAAGGCTTGACCTGTCTGCTAAATTTCCTCCGGAGCATGGACCACGCCACCTGCGAGAGTCGCATCCACACCTCCCTCATCGGCTGCATCAAGGCTCTGATGAACAATTCCCAGGGGCGGGCACACGTGCTGGCACAGCCTGAGGCCATCAGCACCATCGCACAGAGCCTGCGCACAGAGAACAGCAAGACCAAGGTGGCTGTGCTGGAGATCCTGGGCGCAGTGTGCCTGGTGCCTGGGGGCCACAAGAAAGTGCTGCAGGCCATGCTACACTACCAGGTGTACGCGGCCGAGAGGACACGCTTCCAGGTGAGAGGCCCAGCAGGGGATGGGGCGCCAACCAGGATGGGACAGGAGCTTTGAATACTCAGGGGGAAGGACTAAGTATTCTGTGTAATAGAAACAGAGGAAGGAGAGGTAGTAAGGGTTGCATATCCACTCCTGGAAGGTAATAGACTAAGAGTAATGGGACCCGGCGGGCATATCTAGAATGGTGTGAGTCTTAGGAGGTATGGGTTTGACTGGGAAAGTAAACACATCACTAGACCACAGGTTCCTTGAGGCGGCAATATAGGTCTGCTTCATTTTTGTGACTCTGCATCCCTGAGTCTAGCGCCCAACTCATTTTCAGGCTTAGAGAAGAAAATTGAATTGACAGCAATTGCTCGAGTCAAGGTTTTAGGGCTTATGCCTGGGTCTGGGTCTGCTGTGAGGCTCCTGAGACCAGCCCTGGGAGCTCAGGCCAGGCCTTTCTCTTCCCCTGACCTGCTCCAGGAAAGTAATGAGATAGATAACAAGTATCAGGTGTCTTGACCCAGAATCAGTCTCAACAAATGTGAAATATTGTTACACACACTATGTTTTATCCATCAGTGTGGGCTATTTGTTGATTCTGTCATCATTTTTATTTATTTTTATTTTTTAAATTTATTTATATATATTTTACCTAATTTTTCATTTCTTTTACAGTGTTTGCTTTCTTTCCTCAGGTGTAGTCCCCATAGAATTTCCACCACCAATTTATGTGTGCTCCATCACCATAGTCCCTTGTGCTCTTCCGCCCTCGTTTTGATCCCTCTCCCCGCCCCTCTCCTGCAGGATATCTCTGATTTATAGTTGTCTGTTTATTTTTGTTATGCTTTTTATTGTTATTATTTTTTTTCCTAACGCCTTGCCTTATTTGATTCCCCTATATTCCTCCTATAAGTGAAACCATCCGATATTTTTCTTTTTCCTTCTGACTATTTCACTGAGCATAATCCTTTCTAGCTCCATCCAAAAATACATGACCGGATCAAGAAGATGCAGTATTTATACACAATGGAATACTATTCAGCATCAGACATTGTTAAACCATCCACTGTGTGCAGAGAGCAGCTCCTGGCCATTTGCAAAAGATAGAAAAGGAATAAAAGGTAGTGCTCATGCCGTCCAGGAGCTGAGCAGGGAGCACAGACTAGCAGTAAATAGTGGGAGCACAGCTCTCAAGCAGCAGCACAGCCCTGTCCAACACATAAGCCCAGCTCCAAAGACTGAATGGAACAGAAGTAAGGCAGGCCTGGGGCTCAGCTTTAAAGAAGCAAAAATTGTTTCTTGGGAGAAGCCAACTTTAGGGGAAGGCCAAGATGAATTGGATATTTTGAAAAGATGGAATAGATGGGGCATTCTAGGGATTCTGGTCAGGAACCAAAGCCTCGTGGTCTGGACTTAGTGAATCCTGAGCCCTCCTATCCTTTCTGTCTTGCCTTTTCATCCAGACACTGCTAAATGAGCTAGACCGAAGTTTGGGCCGATACCGGGATGAAGTGAATCTGAAAACAGCCATCATGTCCTTTATCAACGCTGTCCTCAATGCAGGAGCTGGGGAGGTAAGGCCCTTTGGCATTGGCCTTGCTATGCCTGGATGCTCTGGACCCTCGTGCTTGTTGGGGAAAAGATGGCAGGTCATCTGGTTGGTGTGCCAGGGCATCATCTTCAGGTGGTCTTTGCCATGTCACTGCTCTTTGATGCCAAGAGCTAAGAGGAAACTGGAAAGGAACTTACAGGCAGTGAGGCAGTAAGTAATGAGGTAAAAGGATGTCTCCTCCTAACTTTATTGGAGCTCTGAGACTCGAAGCAGCTCCAGATGAGTTTGCAGCAGGTGATGTGGGATGATGTCAGGAATGATGATGGGGGAAGGACTCCCTAAGGACTCTTCTGGAAATCAAGATCAGCTAATGTGTCTGTCCTCCCTCGGTGACTCCCAGGATAATTTGGAGTTCCGCCTCCATCTACGGTACGAGTTCCTGATGCTGGGGATACAGCCTGTGATTGACAAACTCCGGCAGCATGAGAATGCCATCCTGGACAAGTAAGGCCCAAGCCACCTGTCCCTAGTACAGACTTTTGAGACAGTGTCTCGGTGGGGGATGGTAAGGCCTTCATGGTGTCCACCCTTCCCAACTGCCATACCCACCAGCATCAATGCAGAATCAGCTCTGTGGGGGTGAGGCTAACAACTGTCCTACCCTTGTCCCATCTTACCTGTGCCCCTGCTGGTCCTCCTTGATTACCTGCTGTCTCACCTCTGATAGACAGGTAGACCTAGCAGTATTTAGCCATGGTATTACTGCTCCCTGGGGCTATATGGAAACACGTACAGATGCTCTTTGGTTTTTATACTCACTGGTGGTTATTGGGGGCCTGGAATGCTAAATATCTTGCTGTGTTCTTCTGTTCAAGAAAAGCCCCACTCCAAGTACAAGTTATAAAGGCTCTTGTTGATCAAAGGGCACAATTAAATTTCCTTGTGTTATCAGAGGGTGCCTCTGGTTCTGTCCCATTAGCACAGACTATTTTATGAACACTGGGTCTTAAGAGGTTGGATCCTTTTGAGGTGAGGTTATGGGATGGCTGGATGAGAGTTGTAAAAGAGGGAAGGATTGACTTCAAAGGGTGATATGGGGACAGTCTGAGGACACTGGAGAAGGTAGATAGAAGCAGTGGTCCATGATGGGGTGCCTTTATCACCTACTTGGCAATGCCTGGAGACATTTTGGTTGTCATAACTCAAGGGGTAGGGTTGCTACTGGTCTCTGGGTGGTGGGTTAAGGTCAGAGATGCTGCTGAACCCCTACAACTCTTGGACCAACCTCCCCAACCAAGGGTCACCCAGCCCCAAATGTCAATAGGGCCAAAGTTGAGAAAGCTTGATCTAAGGTGATGGACCTTGGGTTGGCCTCTCCAAAGGAGAGATGTAGGTTTCTATAAAAGAGGGGTGCATTGGCCTATAGACAGCTGGCTGTGTGCTGTTTTTGCCTTGGTCTCACCTAAATGAAGCTGTCAGATTTAGTTGGTGGGGGTGGAGGCTGATGTTCTGTCTATATGTCTCCTCTCTCTGTCCCTCTATCCTATGTAGGCATTTAGACTTCTTTGAGATGGTCCGGAATGAGGATGACCTGGAGCTAGCCAGAAGGTTTGACATGGTGAGGATCTTTCAGGGGTGTGGTGACTGCTGTGGGGTCACAGGTAACCTCAGAGCTCCCTCTTCAGATCCTGTGCTATGGTAGGTTCAGTATTGTTGGCTACGTTCCCTGGTGGTGGCCCCCACGGCCCCATCCTATGGCTGGAGCCCTGGCAGTCTATTGACTCCAGAGGGCTCGCCTTTTTGGTCTTACCTGGTCTCTCACCTGATGAGCCTCACTTTGTGGGTGTCACCTGGTGAGCCTCATCAGGTGGGCCTTCCCTGACCAGATAAGTCATCTACCCTCCAGGAGACTGCAACCCCCAAAAGAAAGCAAGCCAGCCCTTCTCTTGAGACTAATGATTAGTCTCAAATGTCTCTCCTGTGCTGCTTTTCCTCTGCCTTCAGCAATTTCTTGAGTTACCTTCCCCATTAGTAGCCAGGTTGTGCTGACCCAACCACATTATATTTTCACTTTATCCTTAGTAACCATGAAAATATCCAACTGTGCTGCTTAGATATGGTATTATAAAATCCCTGTCCAAAAAGAAGCCTACTTATGGGGGAGTGCTTCGATCACCAAGCATCACCCCTTTGTATTCTTACAAAAGCCTTGGATTTAGATAGACAAGGAAACCGAGGTTTAAGAGGATGAACAGCTATCTTGTCACTCACCTAGAGAGTGGGGTCTGGACCCAGCATTTTGGCCACGCAGTCCTTGAATCATCTATATCTCTGCTTCCTGCCTTTAGTTTAAATCAGTAGTTCTCAACTGGGAGATTTACCCAGCCCCCTCCCACGGGACATTTGTACTATCTGGAGACATTTTTAGTCATCACAACTGGGATGAGGAGGATGCCACTGGCATTTGATAGACATAACCCAATACTGCTAAACATCCTGCAATGAATAGGACAGCTCCCCACACAAAGACTCCTCCAGTTCATATGCCAAGAGTGCTGAGCTTGCGAAACCCTGGTTCATAGAATTAGCACATTTCCCACCTCCTTTTCTAAGCCTGGGCCAGAGGCAGGGGAAGGAACGCTCTCCCAGGAATGGGGCTCGTGAATGGACTCAGGGACTTTTCTTCCTTATTCTCTCCCTCTGATGCATCCCCTTACCCATTCACCACACCCTCCACCCACCCAGGTCCATATCGACACCAAGAGCGCATCACAGATGTTTGAGCTGATCCACAAGAAGTTGAAGCACACAGAGGCCTACCCCTGCCTGCTGTCTGTCCTGCATCACTGCCTGCAGATGCCCTGTGAGTAGCCTACATTTGCCACTCCCTCAGCTTGTTAGAGCCCTGGCCCAGGTCAGGTGGAGACAAGGCATCGGGACCTCCCTGGGTTGGTGAGTCTCACCAGGTCTTCCTCTGCACATGCCCCCAGAAGCCAGGCCAGAGGACTTGGGCCGCCATGGTTCCCTTCCTTCTAGGGGTCAAGACTCCTACTATCACTCCAGGATGAACTGGGGACTTGCACTGAGCAACCCCAACATCTGAGTCCAACAGTGATAGTTTGATCACTAAAAATCAAAGAGCCCTGGCTGCCAGCTCATGCCAAGGGAGTAATCAGTCCTCTCGTTGAGTTCCAAAAATGTTTTGTGTTTGGGGAAGTAGCACAGATGTGGAGCCTTTGGAGAAAGGTTTAACTCCTCCATATAGTCCTTGCTGGTTCCCCCCACCCCAACACCTTTGATTCTGCTTCTTTTTATAAATACCAAATGCCAGCAGCCACAAGAGCAGATACTAAGCTCTGAAGATCCAGGTGTGCATAATGGCTGAGTAAATTACACATCATTACTAATAGCCACCCCAGTATGCAATTTGAAAAGAGCTTTCACTGTACATTTTGGCATTTAAGCTCTTCACAAAATAGAATACTTTGAAACCTATCATGGCCCATTGTAATGGTCAACCTGGGCAGATTCTCTTCATACGGTGGCATCAGCAGTCATGGCAATGTGACAACAACTACAAATTATTGTGTGCCAATGGTGGGCAGGGTGTATCACAAGGTTCCTCAGTACAGGGTCTCTAAACTTCAGAGTTGCTTGAGGGGCATACATTATTTCAAGCTGACAGTGAATGAACTTGAGGCTGAGTGAGTCTTTACATAGGAAGGATGCTTATTTCTTTGGGGTTAAGGTTTTAGATGAACCATCTTCCTCCTCTGTGAGCCAGTGACCTGGCTTACCTGTTCTCCTGGGTGAAAGGTAATGGAAGACTATGCCTCTGCAATGTGTGTTGGTGCCATGGTGGAAAGGAAAATGGACACAGTGACCTGGACCAGTTCTTCCACTTTTCTGTCCTCCCATAAAACATAAACAGTGACTTTATGGGAAGTCATTGAGAAACCTTACTTGTTCTGCCCCTAGAGCCCCTGGGCACTGTGAATGTTCTACCTCAACATGGTGCTTTACGGTCATGACCTTCTGTCTTGCAGGCACTGTGGTTTGACCTTGAGGTCAGGCTTATGTGGGTGACCTTTCTTGGTGGTCGTGTTCCAGGGTACCCTATGGAAAATGACGTGACCTGGATATGAGTCCTTACCTGCATGCCTAAGAATTCTAGGCAAACCCACAGCAGATGTGTAGAGAAATGATAGGGGAAATAAAAGTTTATTTACAAATGATTTACAGAGGCAGATAAAAGAAAGAGAGACAGATGATGAATTGACTAACATGTGGTCAGATACAACCTGTCCTGTGAATATGTGGCACCAGGATGCCAGTCAAGTCCACAGAAGCAAGAGAAAAGGGCCCCAGGCTCACATGCATTCAGGTATACACCACGCACAGCTGCTTGACTCCACCCCTAGTTGCTGTGCTAAGGAAATCTGGTTGAAACATTCTGGTACTTGTGGTTTAAGGGCCTGTAAGTAAGTGGGGTAGGGAGCATGGTACCTCCCCTTTCATTCAGTAGAGACAAAGTGCTTAGTACCAAAAAGCAAGAAAAGTAGCTTATGGCTGTCTCTTGGAAAGAAAGTTCATGTCCAGCAAGATTATGACTGAAGAGAGTGGGGTCTTGGGAGTTCAAGTACCACACTGGTGCCTTTGCCTTCTTAGTTCAAGGTTACCATCATCAAGAAATCTGCCTGGATTCCATTAGATTTCTCCAGCCCCTCCAACTCCCTCTTGTGCATACATGTAATTAGTTTCCATTCATCTTTCTCCGTAGAACAATAACATAGATAATCCTAAACCTTTTTTTTAAATTTCCCTGGAGATTTCATTATTCAGCATGTATTATTTTGGAGCACATTTATTTTCTCAGAGGTGCTTTTTTTTTTTTTTTTTTTTTTAAGATAATGTAGAAAGCAATTTGCATTCCCAAGGCAGAGGATGATCAAGGTATCAACGGGGAAGAAATGTAGCCAGGAAGAATTTCAGGGAGTAGAGAAATATGGCAGGGGGTTGACATTCATAGAATGTCAGTTGTAAATAATCAAGAAATGACTGAATTTGTGAGCAACTGCATTGCCTCCACCAGCTGACTGGGGGCTTGCCAATGGAGGGGAAGGGCATGCCTCACCACCCAGGCAGTAACCCTAGGGTGGGGCCCCCAGGGAGTCCAGGGCTCCACAAAGATAAGATGCCTATTATCCCTTAGACAAGAGGAACGGTGGCTACTTCCAGCAATGGCAGCTCCTGGACCGCATCCTCCAGCAGATTGTCCTGCAGGATGAGAGGGGCGTGGATCCTGACCTGGCTCCCTTGGAGAACTTCAATGTCAAGAACATCGTCAACATGTGAGCAGTGGCTGGTCCTCACCTGTCTTCCTCCTCCTTCCCCATCTCTCTCCTACTTGGGGTCACTCAACTCCTTCTCTCAAGCCAGCCAGATTCCAAGAGGGGCTTGAGCGGCATTGTCCAATAGAGCTCTCTGAGATCATGGCAGTGTTCCTCGCCTGCCCTGTCTCATGTGGCATCCGATGTAGCTATTGGGCATCAGACCTTGGCTAGTATGACTGAGGAACCACATTTTTTAAAAGGTTTATTTATTTATGCATACAAGAACTGGGGTATAGGTCAGAGGTGTGGGGGGGTGAGAGGATTCACCAGAGACAGAGTGGGGTACAGAACAGGCAGACTGACTGAAGCACACTGTTGAGGGGAGCAGCAGGCAAGTCAGGAGAGGTCTACTGTGCATGTGGGTAGCTCCCTGGCTGGCTGATGATCAAACTCATGCTGCAGAAGCTTGTCAGTGCAGTGCTTAACCCCTTGTGCCACCAGGGAGCCCCAGGAACCACATTTTTAATTTTATTGTTCTTTAATTCCAATAGCAATGACATTCAGTCTTGTGACTACAATCTTGGGCAGTGCGGGTTTATGAACAGGGGGAGTAGGGAGAAGGAGAGGTACTCAACCCTCAATGATTCACTGGATGGAGCAGATAGAAGAGTAGTTTAACCAGAAAGAAGAGATCAGCAAACCGTGGCCTGTGGGATAACTCCAACCCTCTAGCTTGTTTTTGTATGGTCTTCCAGCTAAGAACACTTTTTTGCAATTTTGAAAGAATTGTTGAAATCAAACACAAGCATATGGAATAGAGACTGCATGGTATGCAAAACCTAAACTATTCATTCTTGCCTTTTATAGGGAGTATGCCACCCCAATATTGAAATACAGATCATGGCCAATTGACATGGGGATTTTGGGTGCAAGGAGGCAGAGCCTGTGGTCTTTGGGCGGTCATCTTTGACTGGCTAGAGAGAGACACAGAGAAATAAGTTTAAAGTCACACAAATTAATTATCAGATCTTATGTTAGTGCACTGATTTTTTATGTTCAGCTTTTACAGCAGTATGTCTCTGAACCGAATTCCCCAAGGAGATAAACTGACTGTTCGTGACTCATTGTGTTGTGCTCCAAAGCCAAGTAGAAAACAGACTTTGACCTTTTCTTGCTACTGTTTTCATCTACACAAGTAGTTGGGTATCAATGGCGTGTTAGACAAGCATAACTAGTAAATTCATCAAAATGCAGCTTTATTTTATTTTCTACTGATTCTCTACACTATTTAGTGGGGAAGCTCTTCCTCTGCCAAAGGATAAACACTCTTCAGGTCCAATGAAATTTGTTCTTCTTCATTGGCAATGGAAGTGCTAAGATCATATTAAACTATCAACAGAGTCTCAAATCTGCAACAAGAAGGACTGGTCTCAGAAATGAATCAACATTCTAGATCTGATGTAGCCTTAAATCTCTTTCTTCCTTGCCTGGGTCCAGAAAGTTGCGGTGGGAAGGGTGTGTGTGTGTGTGTGTGTGTGTGTGTGTGTGTGTGTGATGGTTGGCTTCTTTTCTCTCTTGTTGCTTTTCTAACCCCTTCTACCCGCTTTCCTACTAGCTAACCAGGTCCTGACCCCCACCAGAAGCAGCTTGGGGGCAGGAAGGTGAAAGAGAAAAGGTCTTACTTGACCAGGTAACTTAGTTAACAGCTTCCTGCTCTCTGGGTTTGGCATGTGGGTAAAGGTATGAATATATTCCTGAATATATATAATATATAAACACATATATTATATATTCACATGTATTTATTTATATATATATATTTATATATTATTTATATAAATATATATATTTAATATAGGAATTATAAAATATATATTCTATATAATAGTATATATTCTATATAATAGTATATATAACACATGTATTATATACACATGTATGTGTATGTGTGTGTATGTGTGTATATATATATATATATATATATATATATATATATAAAATGTTGTGTTGCCTCTCATTACAAAACCCTAGCGGCTGGCCTCCTCACCTCCCAGGGCTGGCTGGTACCAACTATCCCTTCCATCAGCCCCTGTTTTACTGGCAATCTAGTCCACATAGATATAGATTTGCACTGTTGAAGTGTCTGATTTTCTCCCATGTGGACATCCTGGACAGGGTTTAAAATAGTTTCAGCCTAGTTCCTCTACAGCACCTACTTATGACCCACGGAAACACTCATGCAGTTGCTTATGCCAACAAACACAAAGTGCTGGAAGGTCTCACATGGCAGTGTTCTTCTGGTCAATTCTGCCTCACCTCTGGACTTGAATGGCCCCAAGACAGATTGCTGTCCACCATGCCTCCCTCCCAAGTCCAGGGAACATAGGTCAAAACTCTGTCAGTGCGTCTAAAAGGAGACAGCACACCCAACAGATGACAACAAGTCTCACTCTGCAAAGGAATGTCTTCACACATGGTGCCCCTCTCGCTCCCTCTCCTCTTTACAGCCTTGATCTCCTTGAGAGCCCAAGAGTGTTGGATCCAACTGTTCTAAATTTTCAGATTTACAAAAGAAATTATTATTGGGATCTTATCTGGATTTTGCCTCCCTTATACTCTGGTGTATAGGTAAAGGCTTAGTTTTAAGCCCCTGTTACAAGAGTTTGGCATGAACGAGGACTTAGAAACACTCATCCTGTGTTGTTGGGGTAGGTGGTTTCTCTTGCTCTTACACCTTGGTCTTTGGAAGTCTGGATCATGGTAAGGTCAATATTTTGCTCTCTTTCAGATGTAAAAATCTATTTTGTTTACACTTACAAATCATAATACAACTGAAGGGGCCTGAGATTTAGTCCTACCTTACCATTCATGAGCTGTGTCTTTACCTTTGGTCTCAGACCTTCAACTGCATCATATAGGGGTTAGATTCTAATGTATCTGAGTGTCCTTTCAGTTCTCAGTCCACAAAGAGGCACATAATGAGAACCAGGCAGGGATGGGGACCTGGAAAGAACTCTGGAGAGTCAAAGTTTAACCTCCTTGGTGTGGCTGGACAGAGTGGATAACAGGTGCCAATGTGGGGAACATAAGATGGCATGTTTTCTGGGAAGTGAACCAGCTGTCAACAGATGCTGCCCTCTACTTTCCCCCAGGCTCATCAATGAGAATGAAGTGAAGCAGTGGCGAGACCAGGCAGAGAAGTTCCGGAAAGGTGAGGGACTTCACACTCCCACATATCCCCTCTCCACGGACACCCAGCCTAGGATCCATCTCCTCATTTGGAGGGGAACATACCCACTTTCACGTCTGACTTCCCATTTCCTTTCTGTTCCACTGCCACCTTAGATCACATGGAGCTTGTGAGCAGACTAGAGAGGAAAGAGCGAGAATGTGAGACAAAGACATTGGAGAAGGAAGAGATGATGCGGACACTGAACAAGATGAAAGACAAGTTGTCCCGAGAGTCCCAGGAGCTGCGCCAGGCTCGAGGACAAGTGGCAGAGCTGGTAGCCCAACTCAGTGAACTCTCAGTACGTGGTACCCCCCTTTCCTTTACATGGTTGGGTCTAGTCCCCGGATTCAGTATCTGGTGGGAAGAACAGGTGTGGGAAGGGACCAAAGACCTCAAGATGAGGGAGAAGGGAATGTAGGACTTCAGGTCAGAATAGAGGGGACTCCTGAGGAATAAAGGTGGCACCATTTTGTTAATTAGAAAAAATAATGCTCCTTCCTCTGGGTGACACTGTCCCAGGAAGCACACTTTAGAAGCAGACAGAATTTGGCCTCCCCTTCCCTGCTCTACTGGATGCCTTTGTGTAGACAGTTGCCCACACAGCCACATATGTCAATCGTGCAGTTACATTGTGCTGACTATGACTTTGTCCAGTGGTGTGTGTGCGACTTCTGTGTGTCAGCCTGTGGCTGTGTCTGCCTATGGTTTTGTCTGTTTTGGATATTTGGGATACAAAAAGTATGGAGATGAGACAAGATGTGGGGTCTAGTACAGACAGAAAAATAGTGAGGAAATGAGTAGTGGCACGGATGTGAAAGATGATCATTGCTAATGGCATTGTCTTTTCGACTTGTCTCCCCACAGACAGGACCTGTATCTTGCCCGCCTCCCCCTGGGGGCCCACTTACCTTGTCTTCCTCCATGACAACCAATGACCTGCCTCCACCCCCACCACCTCTACCATTCGCCTGCTGCCCCCCACCGCCACCACCACCCCTTCCACCTGGTGGGCCTCCCACTCCCCCAGGTGCTCCACCTTGCTTTAGCTTGGGCCTGCCCCTCCCTCCAGACCCCTTCCCCAGCAGTGATGTGCCACTCAGGAAGAAGTGTGTCCCACAGCCTTCCCACCCACTGAAGTCCTTCAACTGGGTCAAGCTGAATGAGGTGAGCAACAAGGAAGAGATCGGAAAGTCTGTTCTCTTGCAGCCGGTGACAGTCAGTTGAGGACAGACTACCCATGGTTTGCATATCTCCACCCTGGGTTATTTCTTTAGTGGGGGATAAAGGTAGACACAGGGATGGAGAATATGGGGTTGCTGATTCCAGGTAGTTCACTGCCCACTGGGAAAAACATCTACACTGGGAGGAGATGACTTGGCATTTGGTAAAACCAACCACAAATGGAATTTGGGTGTGCTGAGGGTTAATGGAGTAATATATATATATATATATATATATATTATATATATATATATTATATATATCAGAGCATGGGTCACTAAGGCCAGCTAGAATTTTAAGCATAGGATTAATTTGAGAGAAAGCGTAGAAGCTATAGACAGAGATCTTAGACCAAAGACTAGAGATGACAAAGATCAGAAAAATGTGTAAAAAGGGCTGAATGATGGTTCCATGATGTGGGTAACAAGGGAGGGTGATGAGCTACTGTTGTATTGAAGACTTGGATGTCAACATACAGCCCTTCTGGCATCCTTCCAGGGGTCAGGTGCAAACACTGGTTGTTGCTATTCTAGAGTGCTCAGCTCATAAGTGTTCTCCACCAATAATCACCCATTGCAGGCCTGTGTGTGGGAGTTGCTGCCCCTGTTGGGCTGTCATGAGTGTAGTGTTAAGATGCTCTGGGCATGTTAGAGCCATGGTAATTGAAACCAGTTCTAGCCTGGGTCAAGCCCTGCCTCCTGTCTGTGCTATGCCCCATTAAAAGGAATAGTGGCTCTGACTCTGAGTAAACACATACCCTGTCACTGAGTTCAGGTAGCCTGAGCCACACTCATGTTCAGCAACAGCCCTGCACACTCCATGAGCTGGAGCTCATGGATGCCCTTTGACCTTGTATGGACCTGCTGGAGTAACTATTGGGGAATTCATAGCTGTTCTATTCTGTTTACTTTAAATGAGCTCAACTGGTGACTTCAGTGGATAGAGATGTGGGATTACAAAGTAATTAGTAATTCAATTATTTGTTAGGTGCTGTTTCCTAATGGTAGACCAGATAACAAGCCAAATCTAGGTCTCTAGTAAATGGAAAATAACAAAAGTTGAGACTTAACACTGTCTTATCACAGTGTAGGACCTGACAAATTAGAAAGAATATTTGTGGAAACACCGAGCGATCCTGGGGATGAACTGAGGGAAAGGGTCTAACCTCTAGCTAATCCAGGATTAGCTCTAACTGTGTGATCTGTGAAAATCACTCACTTTGCTGTACATCAGTTTGTTTGTCTGTGAGATGATCCCTAAGATTCCTTCTACCTCTGGTTTTGCAATCTGGGTGGAAACATAAAGCATAAATACAGTCCACTCATAGTTGCCTGGGCCTCTGATAACATTTTTCATCTGAGTAATTAAAATGTTAGAGCCACCAATTAGCAGCATTTGGAAGTAACATTGTGGAAGTCTGTGACAACTGCTCAGGAGTTGTGCCCTAGCGGATCCTTCTCTAAGGTCATGAGAGGAGCCAGAAGGGCCTGCTGCATAGGAGCAGGCCAGCCACCCTGCAGAACCCAAGGCCACTGGCTGCGTGGAGACGCCTGTGGCTCCTGGTCAGAAATATTATTTTATTGTGGTTAAAAAAAGGGCTAATTTTGTCACCTGTACTTAAAACATAATTTAGGGTTTTGAAAGTATAATGAAAGGTTGATTAGGAACTTCCACAGTTTAGGAAGACAGACAAGTACTCTAATATTTTTGCCACCTTTCATCATATAGAACTTTGTGCTTAGTGTTTTAGCTGAGATCCTATAAAGTCTATATATATATATAATATATATAAAGTGCATATATAATATATTATGTATTGTATTTATTATTGTATATTTATTATATCATATATATCATATATTATCACATATATCATACATGTTATATATTATATGATATAATTAGATAATATATATTATTGTATATATGATATAAATATAAAAATATTTATATTTTATGTATTTATTATATAAAAATATCTAAAAATTATATATACTATAAATTCCCCAGGGATACAGAAGAGGCCAGAATTTCCTTCTTAGACTGGAAAGTACAGGTTTGCAGGGGCAGATCATAGGGAGATTTACAGGAATTAAAGACATTCCTCAGCAGAAATGGGGTGGAGGGACATGAATAATATTTGTGAATCTAGTATCCTATTCTAAACTTTTAATTGTGCAACTGGGACAGGTTATTTGATTATCTGGGTTAGATTCCAAATCTGTGCAAAGGGGGAAATAAGGATATGCATGACAAAGGAGTATTGTGATGACTGACTTAATGTATAGAAGGATTTAGAACAGTGAGTAATCTTTTGGACATATACAACAAATAATATTAGATGAATTCTCATTCATGGAACTACCGTGTGTGCTGCAAGTGCGTCATCTCATTTAATCCTCATTTGAGATTAGAAGGTAAGCATCGCTAAGACTCAGTTTCCCCTTATGTGAAAAGGGAAAAGAACAGCACCCCTGGCTTGGCCTTCTCTCCCACATAGGGTTGAGGTCAAGAGTACAAGGCAGTAGGTCTGTTACCCCATGTACTCTAGGAGGGAAGGTTAATGAAATGCATTTTGGAGAGCAGTTTGCCTGGCATAGAAAGGATGTTTACAGAGGAGCAGAAGCCCCGGGATTCCCGACTAGAGGTGGTGAGGTCTTGCCCAGGGTGGTGTAAAAATTCAATCTGAGGCTTATTATACAAGGTACAAACATGGTGAAATTTATGATGTGAGAATACTAGGAAGAGCTAGTCCTCTTTCTAGCTCTGGACCTCAGCCAAACCTCCACAAACAGCCTCCCAAATGCTTCTGGAGAATATGGGGATGGGACAGTTCTGGGGAAGATGCTCAGTCTGTTGTCTGATAGGAAATTCTGCCCCGTGTTGAAGCCCCAGCTCTCTAACTCCCGCCCCTCTCTTCTGGTCCTGGCCACTGCACGAATAAAGAGCAGCGAGAAGCTCTATCTCTAGGGGACTTCCCACTTCCTCACCTCCACCCCAGCCTAGATTTCGATGCGGAGCCAGCTGGCAGTTTCCCTTGCCTCCTTTCTCCCATTCAATTCCCCTTCCCTTCTCATCTTCTGTCCACATCCCATGCCAGCCCCCTTGCCTAACCTACGAGTGCTCCTGTACACACACACACACACACACACACACACACACACAGTGGTTGTTTCTGCCACGAAAAGAATGTGTCTGTGTTGAGCTTGGCCCCTTGCCTGTAGCCCTTGCTTCTGCAAGCTTCCCAGCCCGGCATTCCACAAGAGGGTCCCTGGCCTTAGGAAGGCCACAGGAATGTCCCCACCCCCCTGCTCTGGCCTAGCCTCCCCTTTGCAGAGTTTAAGAAAATAAGAGTGAGTGAAAGGTATGTTTCTCTCTAAGCATTGTTGAGGGGGAGCTGGAGGAAGGAGGAGGCAGCATTTTGAAGGTTCCTCGATTGCCCTCCCAGCAGGGGAAGGAGGGTAGATGCTATTTTAAAGGACAGCAAAGCTCTGGATGGGGTGAGGATTTCTTGGCAGAGAGGGATGGCACCTGGGAGGGGGGCTTTGATCTCTGTCCTCAAAGTCTTTATTGGGGTGTTACGAAACCACTAGGGTGCTCTTGAATGAGCTAAAAACTCCTACTGAGATCCCTGAGGTTCTGGGTTCAGTGCAAGGGTCCGATGCAGAGATGGGACCACACATCAGTTGAGAGACTCGGGGATATAACCCCTAGGCCCATCCCAGTCATGAGGAATGGGGTACCTTCCCTGGTCTGGCCAGTGGGAAATCATGGTGGTACTGCTGGCCTGAGCCGGCACAGAGGAATCAGATGGCTAAGACTTTGGCATGTGTCCAGTCTTTGGGAATCTGGGAAAGTGGAGCAAAGACGTCTGGGAGATAAAATGACCAGGATATAGGGAATGCAGCCTGTGCCGAGGTTTTGTGTGGACAGCATTGCTTTGCCAACTCCAGCCCACTCCTACCTATAGGGACAGCGGGTCCCATGCAAAGGTCGCCAGCACCAGCGTAGATTTTCTGGAAGGAGTATAGTGCCCCCCCACTCCAACTTGTGCACCCCTCATGCCAACATTCCTGTTGATTTCTGGAACATGCAGACATGCAGCCACACTTGATACCCTGGGCAGAGTATTAAGTGGAGTGAATGGGTGGCCCCTTCTGAAAGCCTGGCTGTTGTATATGCTGTTGGGTGATGTGGGATTAGGGAGGCTCTGCATAATAGGGGAGTCAACCATGAAATCTTCTCCCTGCCCTTGATCTTAGGAGCGTGTCCCTGGCACCGTATGGAATGACATCGATGACATGCAGGTATTTCGGATTCTGGACCTAGAGGACTTTGAAAAAATGTTTTCAGCTTATCAGAGGCACCAGGTAAGAACATGCCCCCTCCAAGGTTGTGGGTCTTGACTTCTAGTCTGGACTTCCACATATAGCCCTTGAGCCCAACCCTCGGCCCCTCCTTCCTTCCCTCCCACACATGCCAGATATTTTATTCTTGATCAGGTCCCATGTTCTTGCTGGGGTGTAGCTTTGAATTTGAGGTGCAGTGGGCTCTATCCCATTGTATTATAGATTGTACTTACACATTAAATGATGAAATAGTATTTTGTCCATTTCTCTCTCTCTCATCCTGGAGCCCAGATCCCAACAACTGTTGATCACTGCTTTCTTTGGTCCCAGGATTCTCTTCTCCCAACACTGCCATCAGCTGGTTGGACAGAAGATGTTAGTGTTTCCAGGAAGGTGGAACAGCTGCATGTCACTTTAGGGGGTTGAGGCTAGAACAGGCTTAGGCAGGCCAGAAGAGGCTCTGGGCTTTGCCCTATGGACACGACTGGCCAGTGAGCCTGATCTTCCAGCCATATTGGGGTGTGAGGTTGGGGCTGGAATGCAGGGCCTACCCAAGGCAATACCAGTAAGGTTGCCAAAAATGATCTGCAGACTTCATCCTCAAGTGAATGTGAGTCAGAAGAATGTGTTGAGGCCCAGAAATCTGCACCATAGTCAGCATACCTGGGGCATTACCAGGCAAGAGGCCTTGGGGGGTTTGCTTTCTCCGTGGTCTATCTGCCTCCAGGGAAAGATTTTACTCTGGGTTGTGATGGTCCATGTTTTCTCTTCTGAGACCAGGGGCCTCACTCTGGAAACTTCCCCAGGTGCCAGTGAGAAGGAACTCTGTCCTCATGGGCCCTGTTGTGACTGGCTCCTTGCTGGTTTCTGCCACTTCCAGACCTGTGGCTGGCCCTCCCTGAGGGCACATAGGAGTGAGAACATGTGTGACTGTACCTAGGGGATTAGCCTAAACAGTGGTGGGTGAGCATTGGACTCTGGCCCTGCCTTGAGGTTCTAGATAAAACAGATTCTAGGAAAAGTAATTAAGCCCATGTCCATGTCAACTGTGTGGCCTGGCCGGAGCTGAAACTTTGTGTGCTTAGTGCTGCTGAGTAGACACTGAGGATGAAGGGAGTGTGCACAGGGGTGTGTCAGACGTGGCCAGTCACATGGGACTTCTTCTGGGCCAGGGTTCTGGTCAGCCTGCCCAGTCTCCAGGGCCCTGCAGTGGGGCTTGGATGGGGCCCTGTGGGGAAAGTGGGGGTGTGGATTGAGAACAAGCTGGGTCTGAAGCCTCCACATTTAATGAGTGAAGATTTCAGATAAACTGTTCTGCCCTCTTTTGCCTTTCTGACCCCATTCAGTCCAGCCCCCTGTTTTAGGATTGGACTCACTCAGACACCACTGTCACTCAACAGTTGCCAGCCTCCAGGCGACACCCTAGAGGCGTGTTGTCCTGAACATCTGCTTCCCCATCATGGGGCCCCGGGTACATGGGGCAGGGTTGTCCTCTGTGCTCTGGTCTTCCCCCACTGCCCTCTGCAGGGCTTGAGTGAATAACTTCATCTCCAGAAGGGTCAGGTGTGGGCTCTGTCCCCTATGCTCCCTTAGAAATCAAAAGAACTACCAGGGTAAAGGGCGGGGAACAAAATTCAGGTACACCTGCTTTCCTCTGCCTCTGTGAATACAACTTGGAAGCACCTCCAGATCAAGTTTATCTGGCTCTCCTCCCCCAGTTAGAAGGATGAACTCATCTAGGGGCAGAAGCACGCCCTCTCCCCTCTGGGCAGATTCCACAAAGGAGAGGGAAGGAGAAGAGCAGGTGAGGCCTGGGGTGGAGGAGCTGGGCCCTGGCTGCCCTGAGGGAGAGGCGAGAGAGGCTCCCCTTGGTGGTGTTCGGCTTCCCTGTGAGTGCACATCTGCGGAAGCAGCTGCTGCTCAGTGCTGCTTGCAACCACGTGCACAGTTGGTCTCTCTCTCCCCCCTGGGGGTTTCATTGGGATGGGGCAGACAGAGTAGATGCTGAGGGATCCTATATCTCCTGTTCTATTCTACTGTTCTGGGTCCCTGAACTCTTGGCTAATATTGTGCATGTTTAATTCTCTGTTGGCTGTGGCTGCTACCTGCCTAGGAGCTGATAACTAATCCTTCTCAGCAGGTGAGTCACTCTTGGGGCTCTGGACACCCTAACTTTTAATGACTGTCCTGGGCTGCAGCTAGGTACTAGACCTAAAAGAGAGGGATTATTCATTCCACCTTCTACCTGATTACCCATCCAACATGGCATGGGGGAGGATCCCCAAAGAGAAAGCTCACATGTGGGAGAGGGAGATAAGTTAGACCCCCGTCAACCATGAAGGTGAATGAGGAGAAATCTTCTCTGTCTATTGTCTGACCCACCAGACTCAAGGCAAGCCTGTTGTGTGAGTCTGTGCAGGCTGGGCACTGCACTTGGCATTGCATTAGTAGAATGCAAAAGATGGTAACATCAGTGGTAGCCCCTGGACTGTGCAGCAAGGAGCATATGGTTGGAGAGATTGGTCTCCTGTCTACTTCAATAGGGACCCATGAAAAAAAGAGGATAAATCTGATTTCCTGGGATTCTGCCTGCCCAGAAGAGGAGAAAATACTTTGTGGAGACTGCCTCAGTTTCCCCACTTGTGGATGCCTTCTAGCCTGAACACATTGGCTGTACCAGAAGTGCCCAGGAATCCAGGAACTGTGATATATGGGGAGCCAGGTTCTCCTCATAAGCTTGGGGAGGCGCTCTGAGCAGGGATGCTGGGGCTTGGGCCTTGTAGCCCTTCTGTAGGCCTTGTAGATCATATTGCATTGCCCAAGGCCATGGGGATCAGTCACTCCCCTCCACCATAATAATTTTAGTTTGCTCAGAGAGGGCACTCTCTAAAAAGGGGCTCCTTCATTACCTCCCAACCCTCTCAAGTCCAGATGCCTCCTATTAGAGTAGGTTACTAACCACCCAACTCTCTCCTCTTTTCCTTTCCTTTCTTTTCTTGCTCATACCAGGACCGTTCCCTGGTTAGTAGGGGGCAGCTCCTGTGGGTAGAGGGGTGGCAAGAAGAAGATTTGGGAACACCCTCCTCCAAACTTTGCACTTGGCTTATTGTTTGCAGAAGGAGTCGGGCTCCACAGAAGATATCTACCTGGCTTCCCGAAAGGTCAAGGAACTGTCGGTCATTGATGGCCGGAGGGCTCAGAACTGCATCATTCTTCTCTCCAAGTACGTGCTGGCCCCGCCTCTTTGGCCTCTGCCCTTTAATAGGCTCCTGGTGGGAGGGATTGAGCTGTAGAGGCCTGAGAATGGGGCTGAAGCAAAAGATGGTGGAATTGAATGTCTGAGACAGCAGTCTCTTGTCTTGCTCTATTTCTGTTGAGTCCTTGGAATGGGGTGGAACTTTGATCTCGAACCTTCTCCTAGGAGCCCATGTTGAGTAGCAGTGCAGGGCTTGGCAGTCAGAGACTGCCCCAAGCACGTGTCTCCTGACCAGCCTGGTCAGTGGGCACCAAAGTTGCTCTAAGCCCAAGGAGGGCCTCGCTCAGCCCAGGCCACAGAGCAGCATGATCTCAGCGCCCAAGCATTTCCCGCCACTGCTGAACAAATGGGGCAGTCTATGCACTAATAGCATAGCTTCTATGCAGGGCCTCCCGCCCGAGCCGGGGTCAGAGGGCACCACCTCCCATACTATTCTTAGTGCTGCCCCAGCCTCCTTGGGGACCTCTGTGCCCTCTTCCCTTCCTGCAAAGCCTCAGGCCTCAGTTTCTCCCCCTTGATGTGGGGGAGAGTTTTGTCTCCCTAGCATTCCCAATGCGTGTGTATCTGGAAGGGAAGGCCTGTAGGGACGTGGAGGGTGGTTTCTCCTTCTCCCAAACAAGACAGATTAGAACAGCTGTGTGGGAGCGGAACGCTGTCAGAAGAGTGAGAGCTCGTCTGTCTTCTGCAAATGAAAGAGGCAGGAAATTGCCCCTGAGCAGTTTGCCAGCAGTCCCTTCCTCCCAGGGAGATGCTGTAGATATTTTAGGCATGAGGAGAGAAGGATCAGAAAGTTGCGCCTGGCGCTCAGTCTACACTGCAGATGGCCCTGAACTCTGAAATTTCTCTATTGGTTTTGACGGAGACCTGAACAAGAGACCAGAGACTCGAGCCTCTATTTAGAGACTAAAAGAGCTCATTATGGAGTTCATAGACTGGGTCACATTAGTTTACTATGGAGGGCTTTGCAGAGGAGGTGGGGAGGGGTCCAACTGAGGAGAGAAAGCTGGGGCTCTGCCTTCTGGAGAAGGTGGACTGGGGTCTTTGCTAAGCAGAGGGGACAGACCAGGCTGCTCAGGGTCGGGGTTTCACCTTAGGCTGAAGCTTTCTAACGAGGAGATCCGGCAGGCCATCTTGAAGATGGATGAGCAGGAGGACCTGGCCAAGGACATGCTGGAGCAGGTGAGGCTCCTAGTGGGGAGGGGAGGGGGGCTGATCCAAGGGGAGGCAGTATTCTTCCCCATAGCCCCAGAGAGGCTTGGGACTCTTAGGTCAAAGAGATAACAGGCTGTAGGAAAGGGGAAGGAGGCTTATAAAAACTTTCCTGGACTCCCTTTTCTGAGGTCAACAAAGGCTTTTACAGGGGAGTGAGGCCCGGGAAGGAGCTATGAGGTACGACCCTCTGTGCTCTCCAGGCAATGTACAGTGACTGATTGTCACATCTCCCCCAAATCTCTTATACCTCAACTTGTTATGTCCTTCAAGGGAAAATTAAAAATACCAAACAAAACCATTGGACTTACTAAATTAAGAAGGCACGTTCCAAGAGTAAAAAGACCAAACTTTAGAAGACTCTTGCCTTATATTTTCCAGCAAAGATCTCATTCAGAAACAGAAGCTCTACAAATCAGTGAGAAAATGATAAACAACTCAAACATGAACAAGAGATTTGAACAAGTACTTCATGAAAGTAAATTTCCAAAAGTCTCCATACCATTAGTCATCAGAGAAACACAGTAAGAGATGCTCAACGCTATTCATCACCATTATTAAGGAAACAACAGCACATCACAGTGAGGTAGTACCACACCCCTTCAGAATAGCTAAAACTTAAAGGGCCAAAAATGCCAAGTGTTGACAAGGATGCAAAACAATTGGTATTCTCATTTGGTAGAATCATTCTGGAAAACTCTAAGTTTAAGCATACACCTACCCTCATGCCCAGCAATCCTCTCCCTAGGTATTTACTCAGGACAAATGAGTACAGATACTGACTAAAAAACACATAAAAATAATATTTGTAACAATTTTATTTATGACCCCCCAAATTGAACAGCCCAACTGTCCAATAAGAAATAACCAATAGGAACAAACAATTGTCCAATCAATTGGAAAGGGAACACATAACTGTGCATACTCCTAGACTAGAGTGCTATTCTGCTGTGAATAAAAAAGACTACCAATACTTAAAACAAAGATCCATCTAAAACCTTATAGTTATTGAAAAAAAGTAGCCACAAAGGAGAACACAAATTTATAAGGAGTTCAAGAATAGGCAAATCTAATCTAAGGTGATGCAATTCAATTGAGAGGCTGTGTAGGGGGATGAGAGTGAGTTGGCTCATTGAAGTAACACAGAGGAACATTCTGGAAGGATGGAAATCTGCAACTTTTTTTTTTAATTTAAAAAAATAAAAGATTTTATTTTTATTTATACAAGAACCGGGGTACAGGACAGAGGCATGAGAGGGTGAGAGAATTCACCAGAGACAGAGTGGGGAGCAGAACAGGCAGACGACCGAAAACACTGCTGAGGGGAGCAGCGGGTGTGACAGGAGAGGTCTGCCATGCCATGTCTGTATCTCCCTGGCCAGCTGGGAATTGAACCTGTGCTGTAGAGGCTGCAGACAGCTTCACAGAGCTGTGCTTAACCAGCTGCACCACAAGGAAGGCCCCTTCTGCATCTTAATCTGGATTGTGGTTCAAAGGGTGGATCATATTGTCAAAAGTCAATGAACTGTACATTTTATTTATTTATTTTTAAAGATTTTTTTTTTTTATGCTGGCTGGGGTGTAGGCCAGAGGTCTAGGGGGTGAGAAGATTCACCAGAGACAGAGTAGGGAACAGAATAGGAGGGTCTACTAAAATACACTGCCTAGGGGAGCAGCGGGTGAGACAGGAGAGGTCTGCTGTGCCATGTGGGTAGCTCCCTGGCCGTGGATTGAACTCATGCCGACGTGGCTGTTGATAGCTTGATAGTGCTGAGACAACCTCTGTGCCATCAGGGAGGCCCCTAAACTGCACATTTTAAATGTACTCACTTTTTTTAATGGAAATTATGCCTCAATAAAGTTGGTTTAAAAAGAAAATAATCATTGAGTGTACGTGTAAGAATAGTGTCCTTGACTGTATGTCAATTTCAATTTTTAAAAGTTAAAAAATAAGCATAGAGCCTGTTGCACTATCATCCCTGGGGCAGATGAAAGGTGAATCTGTCCATGTGGGGATGCCTCTCCCTTTGAAGGACCCCTCCCCATCTTGTGCCTGGTCAGTGTAAGGACTTCCATGTGCTGCACCTCAACATCAGCACTTCACCAGTGCCCTGTCTGGCCTTCACCTGCCCTTTGCAGCTCCTCAAGTTCGTCCCGGAGAAGAGTGACATTGACCTCCTGGAGGAGCACAAGCATGAGATCGAGCGGATGGCCCGTGCTGACCGCTTCCTCTATGAAATGAGCAGGTGGGGGCTATAGGTGGAGAAGGAGGGGCTGGAGCTGGGTTGGGGTGGAGGCTTTCTCCTGACTAGCTCCCCCTTCTGCAGGATTGACCACTACCAGCAGCGACTGCAGGCCCTCTTCTTCAAGAAGAAGTTCCAGGAGCGGCTGGCTGAGGCCAAGCCCAAGGTGGAAGGTACAGCTGAGGGCGTGGGAGCCTGGAGTGGAGAGGCTTTTGGGGAGGCCGGGGGGAGTCAGTGAACAGGGATAGAGGTAGGCTCCTTATTGTCCATCACCCTGGAAAACCAAAGTCAAGGGGTAAATTTCAAACTACGATTATTTTAGATCTACGCACATTTCATGTCAGCATGCGGGCACATTCCTTGTGCCTCAGTATGTGGATTCTCCCAGCTGGGCCATTTGTGACATCTGCCCCAGCCTGGGGCAGAAAGGCCGGCAAGATGGCGAGCACTAGAACAGTGCCCGGCATGAACCGAGCCCACCAGCCTTAACTCTGCCCAAGAGGGTCTAAGCGCAAAGAAGACCCCTAGGCATGTTACTGGAAGTGTGAGCTGTTCAGAAAAGTAGGAATTCAGGCACAGTGACCCCTGATTGCACCTGAGTTCGGGAACCCTCCTCCAGAGGCCTTTTCCAGATGAGAACTTTAATTAAATGAGACCCACGTCCCAATCATCGTGTGAAAAACTGCCTGTGGTGGTGTCATTTGGTCCTCACAGCCACTCTATGGGTGCACCCAGTTCTCTCATCCCTAAAATAGGGATATGCTGCCTGAGGCCAGGTCACTGCTGGGTGGTGGAGCCAGGACTAGAGTGCCGATGTCCTACTTATAAGTCCGTCCCTTCACTCTTGTGCTGTAGTCCTTCCCAGAGGACATCTCCCTGCAGCTGTCAGTGGGGAAGGCAGGTGGGCACCCATGCAGACCCAGGACACCCAGGAGAGGAGAGACTGGGAGGCTCATCTGTGGTGAGGACAGGGTCAGCAGAGTGGAATGATTGCCTGTGTCTGGGATGCTTAGGGGGCCAGGCTGGGACCAAAGCAGAGCATGGGCCCCCTCTGCTGGACACCAGGACCACCCCACACTCCTTGGGATGCCCAGTCTGGAGAATGCCTTTCTGGAGTTAATGAGCTGTGCCCTGGAAGATTCTGTAGGTTGGTTAGAGTGTGACAGCGGAGGCAGAGTTTTCTGTAACGTGGATCCTGACCCTCACGTGCGAGGGAAGTGCTGTGGTCATAGATCATGAGTCTGAGAGGACAGGCAGGAGTTCTGCGGTGAGTCTGCACTCTGCAGCCTGAAGTCTGGTGGTGCCTCCTGCCCTGGCAATGGATAAATTTTACCCTTTACGTTCTTAGTCCTGCTGCAGACTAATTTGGGGGTATGAGAAACAGATAAGGGGTTCAGCCCAAGTCCTGTCTCTTGGTTTGCTGGAGCTATTGCCATTTGGAACTTGGAACCAGAGTAGCAGAGACACCAGGTAGCTTTGATCTCAGATCATTTCCTGTTCCCAGGATGCTGCTCCTGAATACTCCCTAAGAGTTAGTCACTAGATGCTCAGGGAACAGTGTCCTTTAATGGCAAGATAAACAGAGCAAGGTGTTTTTGGGTTGGCAAAGCCTGCCAGGGGAAGGCCTCATCCTGCTATAGCAATAGCTGCTGTTCTAGAGAGATCTGGAGTTCTGGGAAGAGGGGGCTGAATCTTTTTCCTGTAGAATCAGGTAAGTGGGCTTGACAGGGTAGAGTCAGAAGGCTAATTGGGGATCCATATACCTTTTTCCATTGCTCCCAGGAAATATTCCTGGAGGAGCTGAGATTTGGCCCTATTCCAGCTGGTTGAGCACTATGGACACCCCCTACTCCACTCCCCCAACAGGTCCTCTGGGTCAGTTTGCCAATTCATTTATGAATATATTCATGAACATTTTCTTGTTGAATATATTCTTCTTATGAATATGTTCATTGCTGAATATACCAAATTTACTGATTCTCATTATGAATACATTCACTGAATATAGTCAAGATGAATATGGTCTCAAATGTAAACATATTCTTATGAAATATTCATGGATATATTATCCTTATGAATATATCTAAAATGTCTGCAGTGCAGATGGGAGTTTTCCCATTTACACTGATTTCCTTTGAACTCTTGTCATTTTCTGTTTTGCCAACATTTTAGCATTTTTAGGAGGATTCTGCAAATTTTTCAAATAGCATATCCACCTTGGAGAAACTATCCCAACCAATATAAATTACTGAGTAATTTATGAGTAGTTCCTTAAAGTCAACTTTTAATTGAAATCTTTATGGGAAAAGCATACACATGTAAGAGTCCTCCGTGATGAATCATCCTAAAGTGAACTCACTATGTAATCAACACCCAGGTCAAGAAATGCACAGTGTCCAAAGGTAACAACTATCTTGACCTCCAGGTTAGATTTGTCAGTCTTGAATATACAATGAAGGATTGGTATGAATAATTTTATGCTGGCTTCTTTTGCTCATCATACTAGTTGATAAAAAAGGTGACTTTTTGTTATATATAGCAGTGGGCTGTTCCTTTCCAGTGCTGTACTTTTTCCTGTGGTATGAATATACCATAATTTATTTAACCAAATCTATTTGTAATTTAAGAATAAAAACCAAACAACAAGAAACCTCTCAAATACCCATCAAGACTAAAGCTGCCATGAGGTCATAGAATATGCAGGTGTTCAACTTTAGCAGCCACTGACAAATCTTTCTTATTCCTCTGTTCAGCCCCTTTTTATTACATTTAATCTTCACTGCTTTTAAAGATTTCGGCCAACTTTTAATCAAATGGTTCTCACTTTATCTTCATAGAAATATATTAAGGAATCTCTGGCATATGATGGTTTGGTTTTCTTATCACCACCCTTAATAATCAAAAACCATATTCCGTGACTAGCAGTCAAAGATAAGACACATACCCCAGGGTTCTGCTCATCACCATGGCCGGGGGAGGACTCTTACTTCATTCACCTACATCTGAATGACGTGCTCAAGTTTTGATTACTGCTCACCTTTGTATTTCTAACAAATCCATCATTTAAGGTGTTGGGAAGAAATAATTACAATGCCTAGAGGGTGTAAACACATTGTAAGTAATGTTCAGTAGGTTATCACATAATATATTTAATCAAATCTAAGACACCACAACTGTAAAGAATACCATTATCTTATAGTACAGAAATTTGTGAAATTCGGTATCTGAAAAGGGGCAGAAACAGCCCTATTATATGTTGAAACTTAAATTTTTAACTACTAGGTTTGGAAAAGTAAAAGTATTATATACATGTGTCTATACAAAAAAAGGATGTATTAATAGTCTTTAAATATATTCAAGAAAAGATATTCTGGAACATATCAAAGGAGGAGTTGGTATATCCTGGAATGAATTTCTTGGCATATTGGCTTTTGGCAAATTTGTTTCTCCTGGAGGTGGGTGCGTGTGGGTAGGTGGGTCTTCTGAACAGTGGGTATAGTCTCTGGCCCTCTGAGAGCTGCAGAAACTTGACAGCCCCTTTCCTGGACTTTGGATCAGGCAGCTGGTCCCCTTGTACCCCAGAGAGAGGCCACCATCATCTGTTCAGGGCCCTGACCCACCCCTTCTCTCCCAGCCATCCTGCTGGCCTCCCGGGAGCTGGTCCGCAGCAAGCGGTTAATGCAGATGCTGGAGGTTGTCCTGGCCATTGGCAACTTCATGAACAAAGGGCAGCGTGGGGGCGCCTATGGGTTCCGGGTGGCCAGCCTCAACAAGATTGTCGACACCAAGTCCAGCATCGACAGGTGGGACACTGCTGCCTCTTTAGCCTCCTTCTTACCCCAACCCAGCCAAACCCCTTCTCCCTCTATCCCTCCAATTCCAACCCCAAATTTGTCACCTCTTTGCCCTGACACTTCACTCCAGTTTCCTATTGACCTTCATTCCCAGTTTTCGTGGATCCTTACCCCTGAACTGACTTTCATCCACAGAAACATCTCTCTACTCCATTATCTGATCATGATCCTGGAGAAGCATTTCCCTGACATCCTGAACATGCCCTCGGAGCTGCAGCATCTTCCAGAAGCTGCCAAAGTCAAGTGAGGGGCCCCTCCTTAGCTCCCTTCTCCCTGTGATCACATATATTCTTGATTAAATGTCTTCCTTTGGGGCTACCCTGGGCTGATTAGGAATGGGCTGTGCCTTAGGGTCTGCTTCTGGGAGAATGAAACAAAGACAAACTATTTGCTCTCAAATCCTTATTTCAGACCTGTTCCCAGAAAACAGTGGGGAAGGGAGGCAGGTTTGGGAGCATTATCAAGACAGTTACCACCACGGAGCTTATTGGCCCCCAGGGAAGCCAGGAGACAGTGTAAGACCCTCAGACTACTTGTCCCACCCAAGGAGCGAGGGAGCTGTGACTTCCTACACCATCTCGTGGCTGTCATAGGCTGATGGCTTCTGGGTGGGGCATCGACCTTGACTCCCAGAAAAAGTGCTTACACAGTTGGAAGTTAGGGAGGTGCACAACAATGGGTGCTCCAAGGTGATATGGGGCCCCAGTGGCATCTACTGTAGGGAAGAAGTCAGACCTGAACACAGGCTGATTGAAGCATGTCCAGCGGAGAATGAAGTGCATCCAATGCTACTGCGTGCGTGATACCATGTGAAGAGCTTGTAAGCATCACCTCATGGTAATAAGCAGAGCTAGGCCAGAGATCGTATGTTACAAACCTTCTAATATGTAGTGTAACATGTTATTTAGATCCTTCCAGATCAGAAATAAGGGCACCTGTGTTGTCTTATAGAAGCATGCACAGAGCATCGAGGGGGGACTTTGGCAGGGCCACATGTTAGTGGTGAAAGAAGGGCTAGAGCCCAGGACCATGGATTCCCAGGTCCCTGAACTTCAAACAGTTCTCTCCCTGAACTACCTTTAGCTCCCGTTTCTCCCTCTGTGTCCCCCACAGCCTGGCAGAGCTGGAGAAAGAGGTGGGCAACCTCAGGCGGGGCCTCAGAGCGGTCGAGGTGGTGAGTACTTCAGCTCAGCCTGCCTGGCTCAGCGTCGTCTGCCCACGGTGGCTGTGTTTGTGCTGCCTGTCACCAGTCATATGGTGCACCCCAGACAGCACACCCTCTCCAATACGTTTCTGTGACTCAAAGCTCCTGGCTGGGTGACAGAGCAACTGGCTCAGTGGGTACAGCCTCTGGTGCAGAGTCAGCCCTCCAGAAAGGGTGGTTGGATTATCTGGAGTGTAAATTGGGACTCTCAGAGGGGACATCCACCTGATATGGTAGCCACGGCTATTGTCCAGCATGGCCGTTACCCTGCAGGTCTGCCTGGCATTGGTATGGGATGAGCCGTAAATGTGCTGCATGGTTAAGTTTGATTCCAGTGCCTGGGGAAAAGGAGCCAATCTGCAGAGGCTGGCTAGGGACAGGTAGCACCTAGTGGGACACTGGTACCCATGTCCCTGGACGTTCCACATGTTTTCTTTGGCTCAGGTCAGTGAGGACCCAGGGGCTGCACCAATGCCTCTGCCCCCCACCATTCCTGCCGATGACCTCTCAGCAGGAGGCTACTCTCAGAGGCTACTCTCTCTGACCCTAGGCTAGGATGGCCCAGTGTGGGGATGTCCCCAGTTCCTTGTGCCCTGCACCTAGGAACTAGAGACCCTTCCCATCTTCACTGCGTGTATGCAGGTGGGGTGGGGAGGAGGCAAGTAAGGAAAGAATGAAGTCAAGAATGAGAAAGAGCATTTTTTGTCACTGTGGAGGAGAGGGAGGGCACTTCCACTCTCATAGGTCTTGAAAGTGCTACTCAAGAGTCTACAGGGCCTCCTCTGGTGGCGCAGCGGTTGAGTGCTGGGCTGCGAAGCTGCCCCCATCCTCTGCAGCGCCAGTTCGATCCCCGGCCACTGGGCGAGGGTCCCACATGGCACGCAGACCTCTCCTGCCGCACCCGCTGCTCCCCTCAGCAGTGTGTTTTGTCAGTCTGCCTGTTCTGCTCCCCGCTCTGGCTCTGGTGAATTCTCTCACCCTCCCGCGTTTCTGACTCTACCCAGTGCTTGTATTTAAAAAAAAAAAAAAAAGTCAACAGACCAGCTGCATCAGCTCAAAGTTCTAGAAATGCCTCTGACACTTTAACCTGCACACAAAACACCTGAAAGTCTTGTTAAAGTGCAGATTGTGATTCTGTGGGTCTAGGGTAGGGCATGAGAGACTGGATTCCTAAACCCTCCCAGGTGAGTTGAGGCTGCTGCTCCCAGGCCATGCTTTGGGTAGCAAGGATCAAGAAAAAGAAAGGGGGCAGTGCTGGGCCAGGGGTGGGTAGAATTAAAATTTTGAGACTTAGGGTGTCCCCACGTCCAGAGGAAGGCTCCCTATCCTGACTGTCAAGCAGAATGGGTGGGAAATACGGAATGCCTAGCGTTCCTAACTCCTGTCATGGCACCACTGTAACTAGCACTCTGCTTTCCCTCCTCAGGAGCTGGAATATCAGAAGCGCCAGGTGCGGGAGCCAAATGACAAGTTTGTCCCAGTTATGAGTGACTTCATCACAGTCTCCAGCTTCAGCTTCTCAGAGCTGGAGGACCAGCTCAATGAGGCCAGGGATAAGGTAAGGGTGCCCAACTCAGCAACCCCCCCACCTCCCGCCCTCCAACTCAGTCTCATGAAGCCACATCCCCCCACATTCCTACTACAGATGGTCCAAGAGGAACAAGCTAGTCACAGAGCTTGGAGGAAATACTGATTCCTCACTCCTACAAGAAAAGTAACAGCAACTTTGTTTATCAAGTGTCAGGCATCACATTAAGTCTCTTACAGGATTCCTCTTACTACCTGCTTTATAGGTTTGTTGAGAGGTCATTCTCCTATTTGGAAGACATATGCACTGAGATCCAGAGAGGTTAAGTAACTGACCCAAGGTTGCCCAGCTGTGGTGAAGAGAACTGGCTGAGGAGTCCTTTGGCCTCAGTTGCTATTCCTCTCCCTGCTTCTCACATGGACCCTCTTGGTGGGGGGTTTATGAAAATGTGGGTCCTCATTCAGCTCTGGGATGGGGCCCGAGATTCAACTTTCTAGCCAGCCCTAGGAGAGGCCCACGTTGCTGGTGCATGGAGCTCACTGTAAGTGGGGAGGTTTGTCTTGGGGGCTGTTGGGTGGTTTGAATGAGAGGGAAGCTCTCGAATGGCACATCTAATTATAGCACTTTACACCTATTCACTCGCTTAACCCCCACCACACGAAGAAGCAAGTTCAATGATTACCTCCATTAGGACACTGAGGCTCAGAGTTAAATCACTAGTTCTGCAGCTCCCGACCCTGTGCCTACACAGAAACATACGTAAAGGTGGCCCTGGGCTGCTGTCAGCCAGCCTCCCCAGGGGTCGCCCCACGCCTCTCCTTCAGCCTTTTCCCTAGACTGATGACCATGGGGGTCTCCCCTCTTCAGCCCTGCCCACTTAGCCAAAGGTGTCCAGCCTTGGACTAGGCTCTGCTCTGGCTGGTGCCCAGGAGCTAAGCCCACCGTGCTAAGGGGCGAGCCCAACTCCTCTTCTCCCCCTAATAGTTCTCCAAGGCCCTGACACACTTCGGGGAACATGACAGCAAGATGCAGCCAGATGAATTCTTCGGCATCTTTGACACCTTCCTGCAGGCCTTTTCGGAGGCCCGGCAGGACCTGGAGGCCATGAGGAAGAGGAAGGAGGAGGAGGAGCGGCGGGCACGCATGGAGGCCATGGTGAGGAGCTGACCGGGGAATGGCTGGGCTGGTGGGGGCTTCGGAGGGAGAGAATGGATGAGTCTGTGTGAGGGGGGCAGGCACCGAAAAACACTGTAGGGGCTGATGTCAGCTCCCAAGGAGAGAGACGGGTCTTCCTGGGCTGCCGGCAGACAGGTGCCCAGAAAGGAGGGAAGTGGGCCTAGCTGCGAACACCAGCATCCCTGCACCGGCCCGGGAGGGAGCGCCTGGTGGGCAGGCGTGCTTGGTAAACTGGACTGTGGGTGGCTGCTCTGCCCAGCCCATCTCTGGGTGCTAGCCTCTTGCTCTCCCTCCTCACCCCTCCAGCTGAAGGAGCAGAGGGAACGGGAGAGGTGGCAGCGGCAACGGAAGGTCCTGGCCGGCGGCGCGCTGGAGGAGGGAGGCGAGTTTGATGACCTGGTGTCAGCCTTACGCTCCGGGGAAGTGTTCGACAAGGACTTATGCAAGCTCAAGCGCAGCCGCAAGCGGTCAGGGAGCCAGGCCCTGGATGTCACCCGGGAGCGGGCAATAAACAGGCTAAATTATTGACCTGGGGACTGGCCACACAGGAGGCCGGGAGACAGGGACGGACCCACAGGGGCTGCGCAGAGGAGGCTGGGATACTTCATTTGGTGCTGGGTTTGGAGCCCTGGGCTGGGTCCTGGGGTGGGCACTGTGTGTGGCAGAACCAGGTGTCTCCCCACTTACCTGAAGGGGCTCCTCTCCTCTTCCTCTTTCCATTCTTCTTGCTGACGCCCCAGGGGTCAGTCTCTGAGGCTGACGTGGACATCCCTAGCAGGCCCCAGCTGAACCCTTCTCCCCGGTCCCCTAGAACTGTTCCACATCGACTGTAGGGGTCCATGGACCATGGCCAGATTTCATGTGCAGTGGGGAGTAAGGGTGGGTCCCCTGAGAGCCAGGATGCAGGACTCCAGGTTCCCAACCCTGAAGAGGAGACCCTCATGGAACTTTAATCTGAGGGACAGACTCTCCTCTTGGATGGAGAAAGAAGAGAAACCAATAGTACCTGTTTCTTACATCATGAGTCCTTGGGCCCCTCTCGTTGTGTTTGAAGTCTCTCTCCTTCCTGCCCTCCCTCAGCTCCATCTCATCTACTAATGCAGAACCCCTGAAACTCATCTTTGGGTTCCCACGACTATGACTCGCTATCAGGTACTTGATGAATCTGCTAAGGGGAGAGCGGGGGGTTCAAGAAAGATGGTGCTCATCACACCTCGAGCCTTGGGCTTCGGGACCCTGGATCTGCACTTGCTCCTGATGGCTAGCTTCCAAGTGGACAATGTCTTGAAGCCACAGTGACTTTGCATCTTGGCTAGGTGTTCCCAGAGCCCCTGCAGGGGGCAGCACTCGAGTGCCTGGCTCCACAAGCAGCTCTCTGCTCTCAGACCCTATCCTCACCCTGCAATAGCCGCCTCGGGCTGGAGGCCACAGTGGCCTCCCACTCTGTCCAGCCTGCAGACAACCACTTCAAACCGTGTGAATCTCTGCCTGAGGGTGTCCCTGGGTGTCAGTGCCTGAGAGGGTCCCCAGGGCCAGAGATGCTCTCTGCATTTCTGAGCTCTCTCTGTAGGGGGCAGCACAAGCAGTGACAAGCATGCAGGGAACTCTGGGGAAAGGGGGATTGATGGGGGGGGGGGGGTTAGGCCAACTTCCTTGGAGTATGCACTGCCTCAAGGAGCCAAGGGCAGACAGCTGGGGGGGGGGTCCCACTCCATCTCCTACCTGAATCTGTTCTTCAACCTGATTTCCAGGGGGGCCTAATCTAATCCTCCTGCCCACTTTCACCTTCATTCTGTCCATTTGAGCTACCCTTGCGGAGCAGGACGATGGCTGTCTCTAGACAAATTTTCTCTCTTGTTAAGAGGAAGGAGATGAGGTCCAGTCTATCCAATCTCTTACTGTTTCCTCCCTGCTAGAGTTGGCCTTTCATCCTCTGTGAGACCAGCTCCTCGCCCTTCGATCCACCTCCCCTCCCCTTCACGTACCTCACCTTCCAACCTACTCTCCGGCTCAGGGTTATTGCCAGTGGACAGACTGGTGGGCTGGGCCCACTCTTCAGCCGCCTGTCCTTTCCCTATATGATTCCTGGGGTGGGGCCACAGTAGCTGCAGGGGAGAAATGGGTGGTGAGCCCAGCATGTGCTTTGGTTCGAGGGGGAGGGAGAGGAGCAAGTGCAAGCCTGGCTGGGACGGTGTGAAGAGGCCGCCCTGGAGTCCCGGTGGGGGCAAGATGAAGGCTCCAGGAAGAACAGCTGTGGAGAGCTCTGTGACACCCACCTGCACACCAAGAATTTGGCATTGGGTGATGGGAAGATCGTGGGTGGGATCCCTTAAGGTCCTCTCCCACATGGGCTGGGCTGTGGTCAACCTAACCCACAGAGGGGAGCTCCACTGCTGGCGTGTCCAATCCTGGCATCCCCACCTGCCACAGAAGACTGGATCCACACCAAGAAGGAATGAACATGGAAGTCGATCAAGTACCTGGGATCCGCAGAAAAGCACAGTTTGGTTTAACTGTTTACAGAGGACACATACATTGTTCTAGGGCTCAGGCGTCTCACCCCAAAAGATTTTTCCTCCTCTATTTATTATTTTCTAGCTCTGGCCAGTGGCTCTGGCACTAGATGCCACTGTAGCTGGATCTCCAATAGTGCCTTGGACCATGGGCCATGACGGCTGACTTAGCAGAAGGGGCTGGTGCCCTGTGGAGGTGGCTGAGTTGGCCCTGGAGATGCGAGATGTTTACGCCTATTATATTTGTTCCTTGGTCTTGCTTTCCCAGAGTCCTCCCCACCTCCCCTGCCATCTCTGGGTAAATTCCTCCAGCTGACTAATTTCATGTCCAATATAAAATTGTTAACCCAATGCAACCTATCCCCTTCTCAGCAGCAGCCTCCACTCCTGCCCTGTGATGGAAGGAAGGTGTGTGCAGGGCAGTGGGAAGGATAAATTCTCCAGGTGGATGGGGAAGAGTCTAGTCCAGGGCCTTCCCCATACCCATCCCATTTCTACCAGCTGGGGAGCCGTGGCCCTCTCCCCCCACCTCTACCAGGGATGCCTTGGTGCCAAGGCTGCTCTCACCAGCTCTCTCAGACGACAAAGGAGGCTAATGTACAAAATCTGCGGAGTCCTGTTTACCTGCACCTTTTTTATAAGAATATATTGTAATACTAAAAAATATTAAATCCATACCATCCCCATCCAACCTGCCTTGAAACTTGTGCCTTCTTGCCATGGGGCGACTTGGGGTGTGCTGGGTGCTGAAGCCAAATCATGCCGGTTCTGAGGGGGGCCGTCGTTACATTTTCAAGGATTTATCTCATGTGAAGCTTGAAATCAGCCATGGAATTCGGCTCTTCCTTTTCCCAAGAGCTGGTTGCTAAATATTTGCCAGCACACCTGCGGACAGGGCTGGCAGGCAGTGGGTGCCAATGAAACTAGAGCCACATTAAAGAACCAGCAACAAGTCCAGCCTCTATGTGTACCCCCGTTCACTGATAACCTGTGATTTGGGCCATGAGCTCAGATACCCCCACCTGACGCCGTCACCACAGATGGTGCATTTCCTTCTACAGGGAAGAGGGGCAGACATATGGAGAACATGCCCTCACAACATCTCTTCTGTCTTTTCCAGGGGATGGGCCTTGGGGTGCGGATGAAATGTTGCAGCGGGGTGCCTGCTGCGCAGACACAGCCTCATTATCACATCTCTGAAATTGGCATCAAGAGTTTTATTATGTGCTGTGAGGGTGAAGGCAGCCTTCAGCTCTCTTCTTTCCCTGATGTGTTCAAGAATAAAGGGGTGGGGTAGTGGGCAGCAGGGAGGGTGTGAGAGAGGCGTGGCTGGTCACGCCCAAGGAGGAGGCTGAGGGATGGAGCTGGCGGGATGGTGCAAGTGTGAAGGTGACAGCCTGCAAATCAGGCAAAAGGAGGCATCACTGGCTCATATGATGGCAAGGAGGGAAATGGGGGGGGGAGGTGGTTGTGACCCCAAATTTAGGAAGGCAAAGCCACTCAAGAGGAGAAATGATACATTCTAAAATGCAAGCTGTGCTTTTCCTCCTCAAAGTGGGTTCCTCTGCTTATGAGCCCTTCTCTCCCCAGGGAAGCAGAAGTAGAGAAAACCCTAAGTGAGAAGTGGAAGTGATGGGCTGGACTATCTGAAACTGTGCAAAAACAACACTAAGTGATTTTCCAGTTCTCTAGCATTGCTCCTTGTGACCGCTTCCTATGGCCTTAGTGTCCAGGAAAGCTGAAGGGCCTGCTGGTTTCACTCCAATGAAAGGGAACCTCATAGGTCACTACAGTTCATCTAGCAGTAAAATGGGTTGACCCCAAGCTCCTTTTGGTGAAGGTAAACAGTGAGAGAATTAAAGTAACTTGACATCTATCTTTCCCTTGGCCAATATTGCACGCCATCACTTGACTTGGCTGGGCTAGAAGTAAGAGGGGGCGGGGGCTTTAAGCCCTATGGAAATCCCCCCGCTGACCCCCTGTCTTGCTAATGAGCTTGATCTCCCCCAACACAATGTCCCTGCTGACAGCCTTGCACATGTCATATAAGGTGAGGGCAGCCACAGCAGCTGAAGTCAGAGCCTCCATCTCCACCCCAGTGGGACCCCGGGCCCGGCACGATGCCCGGATCTCCACAGCATGGCGCGTGCTGTCCAGCTCCAGCCGCACCTGGATGTGGCTCAGGGCCACGTGGTGACAAAGAGGAATCAGTTGACTGGTCATCTTGGCCGCCTGGACTCCTGCCAGCTGGGCCACCACCAGGGCATCTCCCTTCTTTAGCTGGTTCTGTTGGACGAGCTTGAAGGCCACGGGTCCCAGGAGGACGACCGCTGAGGCCACAGCAACTCGCTCTGTGTCTGGCTTCCTGCCCACATCTACCATGGCTGCCCGTCCTTCCGTGTCCACATGGGTCAGTTGGTCCGAGGTCGGCAGGGATCCTGAGGGGGTGGCAGGAGCCCGGGACTCAGGGCTAAGGCACTCTGGGTGAGAATCTGATTCTAGGTGGGAGCTGCAGTGTCTCTGAGGGGACATGGAGCCCAGCTGCCACTGGGCGAGGGGAGTGGTGTGGGGGACCCGGCATCTTTTCCACAAAGTCGCCATCTGGTTGGAGAAACTCACTTTGTGTCTCAGACCCTGAAAACGGACGGGGTCCCAGGAGGAAATGCTCGGAATAGCTGGTGGGGAATCTTGGCACATCAAAAATAACTCTGGAAGCAAGGAGAGAGAAGAAAGACTGTGTTCAAAAGGGAAGCACTTCCCCCACCTCTCTCCCAACCTTTCCTTACCCACTTTGCACTCTCTCTTTACACGGGGCAAAGAGAAATGAAGAGCAAAAAGCACAGTGAGACGAGATCAAATGGAAGAGACACAGAAGAGGGGCCCCGGAACACCAGCCTGTAGCCCTTCTCAGCAGCGTGACAGAGGACAACGGCCCCACCCGCTCTGGACTGTCCTGCAGTCAGTGGTGGTGGGTGGGGGGCACTCCCAGCTCCCCATCCCCACACAAAAACGTTCATGTTGCCAAAGTTCTCCTCAACACCTAAGGTCCGAGGACGGAAGCCCGGATCAGATGACCTCTCCACGTCCCTCCCTTCCTTCGTGGAGGGTCCTGCCTGCATCACAGCTACAGTGATTTTCATTTTCACACTCTTGATGAAGAGTCACCATGTAGTGTGCAGACCAGACACAAAGGGGGATATTTCATCTATGTAAATAATGTCAGCTGAGCTCCCTCAAGCACATGGGAAGTGAGTGCCAAATGATCCCCCAGCCCCGGGGAAGCTGCAGGGTTACTCAAGCAGCGGGACCACCCGAGAGTGCTTCAGAACCCCACCTCTGAATTTGAATCTGAACTAACAAGATTCCCAAGTAATCCACATGCCCAGAGAAGTCTGATCCCTATTCTAGAAACCCTATTCTAGAAACCAGACTCATTTACTCTGTCCTTGAGAATAGTTCTATCCCTTATGGAGCAAACAGGTCTCCAGATTCCAGCTTTCCATCATGCTCTGGGCTTGTCAGCATCAGAACTACAACCTGCCTCCTAGGGGGTCCATCAAGACACCCTCACCGCTGACAGCAAGGTGTGTCAGTGTGGGCTAAGCCCCAAAGAGAAGTCTATGGTGCTGGAGGTGAGGGCAGAGGGTCAAGTGGTCCCCCTGTTGGGGTGCTCTGGTGAGCTGCCTTTCCCTCTCTGGGTGGTTGCCATGCAAGGGTGGCCTCTGGCCCACTCCAGCCTGCTTTGCTCTGGGCTACTGGGGTCACTCAGCTCTACCCCTAAGAAAATGTTCTCTGTGTTAACCAGGAGCTGCATTATCAGGGAGCAGCTAACTTAGGCAGCATAAATCTGTAGGACACCCTTCCTCGATTTCTGGTAAGAAAGGATGATGATTTCTGTGCATGTACAGTGAGGGGGAGTCTTGCACAGGGAAGAACCAAAGCGGTCAAGGCTTGGAGGGGTAAGGAAAGATGAGGAGGAATAAAGACAATTCAGGATGAAGATATCAGGAGGAAATGCAGGATTTGGGGGTGCGTTATGGCAGGGGCCCCACCCCACAGGGTCCCAAAATGACAAGGGTGAGTGGTTACGTACTGATGGGTCACCCACCGATGAGGATCATGGGCCGGTTCTTCATCTGGGAAATATTGAACATGCCTGGGGTAAGGGAAAGATGGGGAGGGTGAGAAGAGCAGGAGAGGGGGAGAGAAAGAGGACGGAAAGGAGAATTCACTGAAAGCAGATGGACTTAACTGGCCTGGCAGCCCCGTGGACATGCACTCCCATGAGTGCCACGACACAAAGCCCCCACTGCACACTGCAGGGGCCCCCTTGACAGAGCCTGCAACAGCCCTTGAGTGCCCAGGGCCCTGCCATCCCCAGGAAGGCAAAGTGTGGGATGACAGAGAGACCAGGACACCCCTCTTCCCCCACCCAGTATGAGAGCCCAGGTGAATCTGAGGTCCTCTCTCCTGTGCAGTCTGTACTGGGCCAGCTTCCCCAAGGAAGGAGGACCATCACTGCACCCCAAGTTTAGAGGTTCAACAGGATCAACCCTGGTAGCAAGGACAATACTGAGTCCCACTGGTGCCCCTCAAGTTTTTCTTTATCCCCTCACCCCTAAACTATGGCCCTCCCTCCTGCTGATAACGGCCCACTCGCCATCCTGCCTGGCACTCCCCCTTACCTGCATGCTGCTGTTTCTTCCTGCCCACGGCAGCCCCGATGATTCTCAGCAGCTCCTCCTCGGGGGCCCCTGCCCGCAGGTGATCCCGTAGAGACACCTCTGAGTTCCCAAAGAGGCAGACCTGCGGGGGTCACCATGGGGGTGAGGACAGCATGCCGCCCCTCCCTCATCCCTGAGCCCAGGCCTCCCTCCCTCTGAGCACCTTGGCTCCATCCCTAAAGACCCCCACAGGCTAAGTGCCAGCACCCAGGCTTCCCACGTCTGGTCACATGCCTGCTCACACTCTGGAAGGTGCTGGGAGGTGTGAGAGGCAGGAGGGCAGGAAGCAAAATAAGACATCCCAGCCTCTAATTTATGGTCATGTCTCCTTGAGCTTTTATAACGTATTTGAAAAATTCAACAGGGACAGCACATCAAATTCCAGACCTGTCCCTTCTCCTGAGATACTCCATGGCATGAGCTCTCTGCCACCATGAAAATGGAGCCCCATTCATTGGAGCCCCATTCCTGGCAGTACCCTCTGGACACGGCTTGCCCAACCTGTCTCACCTCAGTCACTGCCTGTCCCTAATTCATGGACATACCTGCTTGCCCCGATGCCCACTCTAGTTTGTGATCCTTGATTGGAGGTAAAACAGCAGAGAATAGTGGGTATGGGTCCTGAGGTCAAATTTGACTCAATGTCCCCAGCTTTTGGGTGCTCTGGGTGCTGGGGAGCTCAGGGATGGGTGAGGTGATCCCAGAGACCAAGATACCTACCATCTTCTCACAAAACATTATGTAACACCTACTGTGTGCCACTGTTGTACAAGGCACTGTGGACACAGAGATGGGATATTCGAGAAGCCCCTGAGGGCAGAAAGAGAAGATACAAACAAAATCTGAGCAGAAGGTCTACCTACTTGGCTGTGCAGGTTGCTCTCTAGCCTCTGTATCCAGGGGCTCCCCTATAGACTCCACCTTCCTGCCTCCCCTTCAGCTGACTTCCACCTGGGCTTGGCTGATGGTAGATCAGAGTGAGAGAAAGAGAAGCGGGGCATTTCCTCCCTGCTCTGAGCTCTCAGGGGTGGCTGCTTCCCCCCACAACTACAGACCAACCAGGTACCACCCCTTAGGTTCCAACTGGGCCCCAGTGACATGGCTTTCTCCCCTTTCCCTCTTCCCAGGGTGGGGACTGCAGCTGGTTGCTGCCATCCTAAGAACCTCATAATCCCTTGGAGGTCCCCTGAAGCCTGCTATAAACAGTCTCTTCATAACAGTCTCTTCAGAATCTCACCTTCCAAGTCCATGACCAATAAAGACACTGCCCATAGTCCAGGTCAATTCTCCATCTCCACCCCAGCAATCCCCTCCCCTAATTTTTTTTCTTAACAACCTGCTGGATGGACGTCAAACTGAATGCATACAAACTCCACTCACCCACACCTCCCCTCCCCCAATCCTAAACAGGTTCCCAAGCCCACCAACCACCTGGATGCCCCTTCTTTTCCCCCTCCATATGTATCACCAACCTCCTTATGCCTCCTCCCATCTTCACACGCTCACATGTTTGGAACATTGCTGAAAGGCCACCTAATAGGTCTTCTTATTTTCAAGTTCAACCTGTGGCTTATTCTTGCTAAAACATGAATGGGGGTTCAGGTCTCCCCCTGTTCAGAAACTTGGCCCAGGGCCCTACTGTCAACAGAACACATTCAGCATCTTTTATCTGGGCATTCAGGCCTCGACAATGTGGTCTCCTCACATTGCCTTTAATCTGCCCCAGCCAAACTGGAAAGCACCCAGAAAAGCAGCCTCCCTGCCCTCCCTCTATTCAGCCATTCTTCAAGGCTCCACACTGTCCACAGTGTACACCCTCAGGGTCCTCTGGCCCTATGTCTGTCTGGCCAACGTCTGGCAAAGATCCCAGTGGGCTGCCACATGTTCGCTGTGTTTGGTCTCACTAATTAGGGCTTTGCGTCCTTCGAGAGAAAGGGCACGTCTGACACCCCCACACTGGGCTGAATGCGCAGTACTTCTGATAAGATATGAGTAGCTGGGTTCAAGTGAGTCCCAGGCCTGGAGGAAGGAGCCAACTGGGTGGGGGCAGGCAACAGACCTTTTCCCTCTCCCCCTCCCTTCTAGAGGCCCTGAGTCCTGAAAAGTGGCTCCCAATCAACCAGAAGCTACTTCAGAGGCACAAGAAAGGATTCAGGGTGACACTTCAAGGGGGCTGTGAATTCACCCTCACTGCTGCTCCCACGATGACCCAAAGGCAACACTATTTCACCAACTACCCCGTCAGGATACTCAGAACACAGAGGTGGCAAGGGGCCTCGTGAGGGAGGGCACTCACCTTGAGGTTGCCGTCAGCTGTGATGCGCAGCCGGTTGCAGGTCCCACAAAAATGCTCAGACATGGACGTGATGAAGCTGACCTGGCCTTGGAAGCCAGGGATTTTAAAGGCCTAGTTGGGACAGGGAAAAGAGGGCAATGGAGGGGTGGAGGGATGAGCCCCAGCCCTCACTCCCTGAGCTCAGAGTCCTCTCCTGAGAAGCCCTTCAGAGGGAAGCACTGAGGCCCTCTGACAACAGAAGTTATTGATCTGCTGGGGGCCCGGGAACTCTCCTTTAGGCCTGGCCTGCCTGCCCGAGAGGAAACCTCCTGAGGCTGCGGCCAGTGCGCAGCACGACCAGAGGTCGCCACATGCAAGAGCAGGATGAGTGACCTCCCACCACTCAGTGGCACATGCCCCACACACAGCATGTTACTTGACTCCACCCATGCTGAGCCTGTTTCTTCATCTGTGAAAGGGAGGCTGTGGAGACGGCACCCAAATGCTTCCTGCTCAAATAGTGTGCCCTGAATCTTGCATGGTGACCTCAAGGGCAGCGCCGACCAGCTCTGCTGTCTTTCCTGCCCAGCCCTGCAATCCTGCACCCCAACCTTGGCTGTGCTGGATTCCTCCTTGGGCAGCTTCTCTAGCTCCGGCCACCGGCGCCGGAGGGTATCCAGCATCTCCTTGTAACTGACCATCTTCTTGAAGTTCCACTTGTTGCCTGTGTTGGGTAGAGTTACTAAGTTGGAGTTGCACTGAGAGTCCAGGTGAATCCTCCCACAGCCCAGGAGGCCCTGCCCACAAGGTGGATCATATCATACCCACACTCAACTCTGAGAAGCCTCTGATGCCCCATGGCAGTGCTATGCCTGCCCAAGTCCCTTCCCACAACCCCTGGAGAAAACACACACACACACACACACACACACTCTCTCTCTCTCTCTCTCTCTCTCTCTCTCTCTCTCTCACTCTCCCCCTTTCACACATAATAACCACACCTGGTCTCCCCCCTCAGTCCTCCCAGAGTCCTCAGCAGCCCCCATGCTCTCAGAGCAGCCCCCATGCTCTCAGAGCAGCCCTGGTAGAGCTCCTTTGCCCTCCCCCTTCCCTGCATCACTGACCATCAAAGGGCATGTACTCTATGAAGCGCACGTCCAGGGGGAGGCCCTCAGTCAAGGCCACAAAGTCCAGGAGCTCATCCTCGTTCAGGCCTCTCATTACCACACAGTTCACCTGGCCAAGGGAAAAAAAGACCATGAGGGCCGTCTCTCTATGTTCTTTTGCAGATAGAGGGGGTCTGGCATGTGCCTAGGCATTCCACTGGGGGTCCCATTCCTTGTCTCTCCTCTGCCCCCCATTCTCCTTAGGTTGGGAGATCCCATGGGGTCACTGATTAGCTCCCCTCTCTTGTGGGGTTGGGGTGTAGGGCAGGAAACAGCTGACAAGGAAGTGGGGAGGGGTGGACACTGCAGCCGGACTGGCCAGGGCTAGTAGCTGTCCTGCGGCCCAGAAGCTGGTGGTGGAAGATGAGCCGGGGGCGGGGAGGACATTAGCTGTAGCGGCATAGTCTCACCTTCACAGGGCTGTAGCCTAGTTCAATGGCCTTGTGGATGCCCTCCATGACCTTGTGGAAGCCTGCAGAAAGGCAAAGAATAAGGATCTGAATTCCCTCCCTTTCTTCCCAATTCCCACAACCAGAGGAAAGTGCAGAAGCTGTAAGGACCCTTGGAGCCACAGAGGCAGTAAGGGAATCGTTCAGGCCCACCCTCAAAGGTGAGACTACTTTGTAGGTATATGTCATGAAGACTTTTATGAGTAAATTCAGAATATGATAGTAATTGAGTATAATTTTTGTAATGCAAATCTACAAATGGAAGGATGGAATTCTTTTTGCAGAGGTAATATGATGCTCAGTTGGGGTTTGCAGTGAATATTCCCTATTGCATTGTGTTGTCTGAAAATTCCATTCTTGGCTCTCAGGCTGTTAAAAAAAATTGGCAATGGTCATAGTGTGCTAACCCAGCTCTGGATGAACCCTCTCAGTCTAGAGGGGGAAACTGAGGCCCAGAGAGAGGAAGTGCCCTGCTGGAGGCTGCACACTCCACCTGCCAGAATACAGGTTCCCTGACTTCCATGTCAGGGCTTTCTCCCCAACAGCGCACTTGCTCACTCACTGTGTGTGACCTTGCTGACCACCTATTATGTGCAGGTGCTGTGCTAGCACTGGTGAGTGATTGCTTCTGTGTGGTTCTCACCATCTCTGTTAATACGTAGTATGTGGGATCCCTGGTTGGCTTTTCCTCGTCCCCACCCCACCCATGCATCCAAATGTGTGAGTGCCCATTGCATTCTGGCCCCTGCCAGCTTGGTCATCACGGGTGAGTCATAGCTGGGACATCACCCTGAGGGTGGGTGACTCAGTTTTCCTGTAGTAAATTTGGATGGCCACTGATGGAGGGCAAAGGGAGAAAAGCACAGTTTACACAGAATGCTATTAGGAGAATCTAGAAGATTTCACCTCTAGAAAGCAATCTCCCTCCAAAAGGAGTAGTGAACACACAAGCATGAATGGAAAGGCAGATCTGATGTTAGAATAGTCTGTCTCTAATCTCATTCCAGGGGACAGAAAGGGGTAGGCGGATGTGGGTATGGGAGGGGTAAAACCCACAAAAAAACTCAGAGACTCAGACTTTGCAGGTCTCTCTCCCCACTCCTGTGAGCTCCCTTGTTCCAAATCCATTTCCCACCCAATTCCTCAAGGCCTGACATAAATGCCTCCTTGTCCTCGGAGCTTGATGGGAGCCTCTCCCTCCTACTGCACTTTAATGAACACAAGAGGAACAAATGTGGTCAGTGGCATTGCACCTCTGGCCTTTGCCCTGACTTATGGGCTACTAAGCCCTGTGTTTCTGTCCCCTCAACAGCAGCCGGAGCAGCCTTTATCAGAGGGCACAGACTCCATAAGGTTTCCTCAATATGTGGGTGGCCACATGCTGGGATGAGAAGCTCCAGACCCACAGTGAGGCTCAAGGTGATCATGAGGTCGGTCTGGGGTGTTCTGCTTCACCCCTACCCGCCCTGATGAGGCCCATGGGAGAGGCTGTGTGAGAGCTTACTGCAGGCTGAAGGAAGAGGCTCATGTCCAGGATGAGAGAAGAAAACACCTCTGCCAGTTGCTGCAGCCCCCACCTAGCAGAGCTGGCCTAGACCCCAGCACCTCAGGGTAGATGCTTCCACCCTGTCCAGCCTCACCTTCCCTGCAGCAAAGGGAGGAAAGAGCAGCTTTTATACACAATGCTGTTGGGAAAGTCTAGCAGTTTTTATTCTGTGAGGCTCTCCCTCTGAACTTGTCCCAGTTTGCCAGGGAATGTCTTGGTTTGAAAATAGAAAAATTCTGTGTTTTGGAAACCCTCTCAGTCCTGGGCAGGCTGGGGGCACAGTAGGGGGAGCTTGGTCACCATGGCTGTTAGTCTGATACCCAGAATCCCTTCAGGGTGAGGCTACAGAGGACAGAGACAATGGTGAGGGTCAGCGGTGGGGACAAAATGCCAAGGCTCAACTGTAGCTCAGACACCAAGAGGAAGAGACTGTGGCCTAGCATCTGCCACAAACACACTCCCCAGCTACGTGGGAGGGACACCCTTCCCTGTGGGACCCATCCGATCACCTTTCCTGCGGACGATGAACTCAAACTTTGCTGGCACCAGCGTGTCCAGGCTGATATTGATGGCAGTGAGACCAGCTTTCTGAAGCTGGGGCAGCAGCCGGGCCAGGTTGATACCATTGGTGGTGACGCCGATGGTCCTTAACCCTTCCAGTTGGCGGAGCTGGGCTGCAGAGAGAAGAGGAGAGGGCATCAGCCTGCTTATTCTTGGCGACATGGGAGATGAGCTGAGCCCAAATAAGATGGACAGAAAAGGGGTTCTCTGTGGCTCTCCATTTACCAAGCTTAGCTTTGCAAGAAAGCAAACAATAAAACCAATGATGAAAATAAAAGATAGGGCCTCCCTGGTGGTGCAAGGGGTTAAGCACCGCACTCTGAAACAACCCACAGCCTCTGCAGCTTAAGTTCGATCCCCGGCTGGCCAGCGAGCAACCCACATGGCGCAGCAGACCTCTCCTGACACGCCCACTGCTCCCCTCAGCAGTGCATTTCAGTCAGTCTGCCTGTTCTGTTCCCCACTCTGTCTCTGGTGAATCCTCTCATTCCCCTGCACCTCTGGTCTATACCCCAGTTCTTGTATGCATAAATAAATAAATCTTTAAAAAAAAAAAAAGAAAAGAAAGAAAATAAAAGATAAAACACAGAGTGCTTACTCTCCCAGAGGTTTGGTGGAAGATCTTGCATTAGCTCACTGAAGCTTCACCACAATGTTATTCCAATTTAATAGATATCGACAGAAGCAGGGAGTTCAGAGAGGTTAAGAAAAGTGCTTGAGCTCAAGGATAGCACACAGCTAGCAAGAAGAGCAGAGATTCCAATCCACATGAGCATGACCTAGGGCTACGCTTTAATAACCTAGTCATCCATCCTGACTCTCTGTATAATAGAAAAGTATTTGGATTACATGCTAAACAGTCTCCCCCATTCCACCAATATCCTTTAAAACAGAAAGATTAATGAAGAATCTATAATCGCATTGGGAAAGGAAACAAGAACACCTTCAGTGGACTGGAAAGGTGGAAAAGTACTAAAAGAGAAAACAGCTAGGATCAAATGGATAAAGGAGACCGCGGTCCAAATTACATGCAGGGAAGGCACTGTTCAAAGGGAGGGTGACTAATGTGAAAGAAAATCAACAAGTGTGGGGCAAAGAAAAAGGCCTTGCAGAGACAGAAGTCAGTGGATCAAAGACAACAGCTGGATAGGCGACTCGAGCGAGGTCAGTGCCATTCGCTGTCACAGATCAACAGAAATCAGAAGTCTGTCTGAAACGGGGAAACTTTCCTTCCATATGACCAACCAAGCATTTCTTTATGATAAAATCTTGTTATCTCCTAAATTCTTGCCTTTTTATAAACAAATTATACCGACCAGAGATAATGAATTTAAGGTATGCGCGCTACCCAGTCTGGAAGTTAGCCTATAACTGCATAAAACCAAACCAAGACCAAAAGTTACCACACACAACAGAAACCCAGATCTTCGTTTCTGTCACATGCTTGTCTGGAATAGAAGTTCTTCCTTTCTGAGCAAACTCCACCTCTCTCAACATTTTATAAAACCAAACCCTACCTGGGTCAGGTAGAAGCAACAGCTGGCCGGGACCCCGTTCCTACCAATCTCTTCATCTGAATTCAAATCCTTTGATTTCCTAGTACTGTTATGACAATTTCCCAGAGAAATCAGACAGCACTCAGAGAGGTGAAGAGAGATTTACTTGTCATACCGGCGGGCTCAGTGGGATCGCTCCCAAAAGGCTGAGCACCCAAGGGTAAAAATGGCAGGGTTTTATACATTGTGTATGAGGAACTTGCTATCCCATTCATCATAGCATAAGTGTTCTTTATTGTTCGGGAAGGGGGTTCAAGGGAGTCATGGCTACCACTGTGAACAAGCAGAACAGTACACCCAGCAACTTGTCTGCTACAGCAAGCAACAGAATCTAAGGAGCAGACTCCCCCAAGCAGCAGACTTGGGAGATTTCCTGCTTCATTTCCCCTTTGTTTTGTGTATGCTCAAGTTAACTGGAATGAAAGTCTCTGGACAGTCATGCAGGCCAGGAGCAGGAGGGTCCTTAGCTCATCAAGGGGGTTGCCTGACTAGGGAATGGTATTTGGGCCAGTTGGGCCAGTTGGCAAGGCTCCCATCCCCATGAGGGTTGGGGGAAGGCAGCACAGTCTATCCCGAGGATAGAGCACTATGAGCAACACCTAAGCTACCCAAAGGGGCTGGAAGACAAGCCCTGAATGGCTGTCACTCAGGGGACAAAGGAGTCCTGGGACCCGGCAGGACCTCATACCCCTCCTCCACAATGTTGAGGGTAGCAGCATAAACAGGAAAGGTATGATGACCAGGCCACAGCATAAGCTGGGGGCACTGACCTGAGCACAGAGCCAAGTATCCTCAACATTTAAGGAGAATGCAGCCAGAGAGAGTGGCTTCCCTGAAGAGAAGAATAAAAAAGGAAGATGTGACAGAGATAATAGATGACATTCTTCTTCTTCATTTTTTTTTAAAGATTTATTTATTTATTTATTTATTCATTTATTTATACAAGCACTGGGTACAGTCAGAAGCATGGGAGGGTGAAAGAATTCACCAGAGCCAGAGCGGGAAACAGAACAGGCAGACTGACGAAATACACTGCTGAGGGGAGCAGCGGGTGCATCAGGAGGTCTATCGCGCCATGTGGGACCCTCACCAGTGGCCAGGGATCGAGCCGGCACTGCAGAGGCTGCAGGCAGCTTCGCAGCCCAGCGTTCAACCGCTGCGCCACCAGGGGAGGTCCCCTTTTTATTTTTTATTTTTTTGCATAGAAAAACTGGGGTGGAGGCCAGAGTTGAGGGAGGTGAGAGGATTCATCAGAGACAGAGTGGGGAACAGAACAGGCAGATCTACTGAAATACACTGCTGAGGGGAGCAGCGGAGGAGACAGGAGAGGTCTGCTGCACCAGGTGGGTTAACTCCCTGGCCTGGGATAGAACTCAGATCATAGAGGTGATAGTGCTGAGACTTAACCCCTAAGCCACAAGGAAGGACCCAAAAGATGACATTCTTTTAAAAATCAGCAAATATCCTCCAGGAGATGACTACTACACTTTGAAAACAAGAAAAAGAACAAATGAGAACTCTTGTAAAAACAAAACAGTGATAGAAAAGTAAAAGCTATGACAGAAAACGGCCTCCCCTGGTGGCGCAAGCAGCTGAATGCAGCGCTGTGAAGCTGTCTGCAGCCCCTGCAGCGCTGGTTCGATCCCGGTCGGCCCACGAGGGTCCCACACGGTGCAGCAGACCTCTCCTGTTGTGCCCACTGCTCCCCTCAGCAGTGTATTTTGTCAGTCTGCCTGTTCTGTTACCCGCTCCATCTCTGGTGAATCCTCTCACCCTCCCGCGCATCTGGCCTGTACCCTGGTTCTTGTATAAATAAATCTTTTAAAAAAAAACAATGACAGAAAACCCCAAGGGACATGTGAAGAGCAAACGAGCAAGGTGGACAACTGAGAAGAAGTACTACCCCGAACTGAGCACAAAAGAACAGAAAGAACAAGACTGAAACAAACACGTGCTCACAGTTAAATCTAATAAAAACTAGAGAAAAGAGATGTGTCAAAATGTCCACAGTGGTTATCTTTGATCAGTAGGACTAGAGATGATTTTTATATTTATTTATTTAGAGATAAACTTCATTTCAAACTAATTCATGTATGAATCTCAATGAAGAGTCAGCTCCGTATAATGAGGGCAGAACCAGGAATAAAGTGCCCTGGTGAAGCTGAGGTGAGAGAAAAGGCAGCAGAAGGGGACAGGGCAAAGATAGTCAGATGCCCAAGCTTATGATGGGAGACATGACCTTCCTGGAGAGAAGTTCTGCATGAACTTGAAGGCTTCAACCTGAAATTACACTTCTAGGAATTGAACCTAAGGAAATAATCATGGATGTGAACAATGTTTATCGACAAGGATGTTTAGCAGCGAGCAATACATAATAAAGGGAAGCAGGAAATCATCTGGCAAGATAAAACTGGCAAAATTATGCTTTTTTTCTGGATGATGAAATACTATGCAACCAAAATTGACTTTAAAATAATATATTAGGGTGTTGGGAAATGCATATACTATATTAAGTCAAGACAGCAGGTTAAAAACAGTAGCTGAAATTAGGTGTGAAGAAACTAGACAGTTCACCCAACCAAACTGTTGATAATGGGGCAGGAGTGATATTCTTTTTGTTTATCTGAATTAGACAGGGATTACCTTTATAATAAGAAAAGTGAAAGCTTAAAAATAAAATCACTGTTTTGAAAAGAATTTTACCCTGGGACTCTAACAATATGGAAAATTAGCAGAAGGTGGATCTCCCGAGTGGCACAGCGGGTTGAGCACAGTTCTGTGAAGCTGTCCTCAGCCTCTGCTGCATAGGTTAGATTCCTGGCTGGCCAGAGAGATACCCACATGGCATGGCAGACCTCTCCTGTCTTGCCTGCTGCTCCCCTCAGCAGTGTTTTCAGTCTGTCTGCCTGTTCTGCTCCCCACTCTGTCTCTGGTGAATTCTCTCACCCCCCTGTGCCTCTGGCCTGTACCCCAGTTCTTGTACAAATAAATAAATCTTTAAAAAATAAGAAAATTAGCAGAAGTTGCTGGCTCCCTCTGTCAAATCAACCCTGGAGAAACCCAGAATCCAAGAACTTGGAAAAAAAAAAAAAAAAAAAAAAAAGGGGAGGATCTCCCTGGTGCGCAAGAGTTAAGTCTCAGCACTATGAAGCAATCTGCAGCCACTGAAGCACAAGTTTGATCTCCAGACAGGGAGCTACCCACATGGCAAGGCAGACCTCTCACATCTCACCCACTGCTCCCCTCAGCAGTGTATTTCAGTAGATCCACCTGTTCTGCTCCCCATTCTGTCTCTGGTGAATCCTCTCATTCCATGTACCTCTGGCCTATACTCCAGCTCTTGTACGCATAAATAAGTATAATAAATCTCTAAATAAAAAGGAAACTGAGAAATTCATAGGAAGACTGATGGTACTTCTGAACTGGTATGGGGAAGGAGGATCATAGCCCGGAATGAAGGGGACTAGAGAGAATGTAAGCAGTTGAAGGAAAAAAGCATGGCAGTTAGAGTTTAGTCTCATCCTCACCCACTGATGCCTCAGTGCAAACTTTGCTTG